TTGTAGTATCCCTAATGCCATTTTCAGATCTAATAAAGCTCTGATCTTTGTGTATAATGCAAAAAAACCATTTTTGTTTTGTGATAAGATCACAAACTACTCATATGTTTTCAGGGAAGTTTTTCTGCCCTAAAATCTTCAAGTGTAATGCCTGTAACATTACACTTGAAGTAAATATTTGTTGAATGTTATTTTATATAATCTTTTCCTAGAAATGGTACATTTTGTCTTGCTGCTTAGAAGTGTACTGTGTAGAAACTAATTTAGGTCAGCTAGCCATCCTCTTTTCACATACCTTTGGGACAATTAAAAGTTTGTATTAGTTTAATCAGATCCTTTTAGTCCTGTATTTGTGATTAATCACACTAAAGAAGTGAGAGTTTTAATTAGAAACGAAAGGAAGATGTAATTCTTAAATTTGGAATCTGGGAAGGAAGAGGTAGGTTTGAGTTAAAATGGTGCTGTTAGAGAACTTTGTATGGCTTGGGAATTGTTTTAGGGTGCTAGTAACCTGAAGAAACCCTAAGCCAGATATGAGAATTTTACTGAGCCTTCCCTGTCCCATCCACTAATTACACAACGGCTGCTTTAGAAGCTCCTCGGACCAGTTTTACCTTTTCACTTTGCCTAGGACTTTTGATATGGAGTGGAAAGAGGATGGAAAAAAGAGAAAGTTAACATTCTTGGGCTACTCTCCCAAGTCGACTTTAAAAGAATATACACTGGAAACTCATTGCTTTTAGTGTGTGTGTTTTTTAGTATTTCTCAGTAATCTAGATTATTCTCTGTTTAGTCTTTATATGCTACTAGGGCCTTTGATTATCACTTGTATAATTTCTCTGTAACAGTATGTCTAAGTGGGGGAAAGAAAGAAGGGAGTAGGGTGGGGCATGGGAAAACTTTTAAACTTCGCTAGTATTCCCTACTTTTGTAAGCTTTTGTACAATCTCTTGAGACTAACAAACCAAAAACCTTATAGATCTATGAGTTGTCTTTAGAACTAAGTCAGGGATGAAAATCTTATTTTGAAATAGCTTGGTGACAACCTGTGTAGGCAAATTCCTAGTTTCTTAAACTCCAGAAGTAAACAGGTATGACGGCCTACCCAAACTAAGAAGGTCTCTAAGAACTCTCTGCTTTTCCTGCTGTTCTAGGAGGGATTGGGGCATGGAGATGTTCTTGCTTCAGTTGAATGAGTTTCAGAGCAGGGTAAGAATGTACTCTTAGCTTCTCAGGTCTGAACTTGGATGAATTGTCCTCTAGAAATGCTTCTTTTGGTTAGTTTTGATTCTGTGGTGGTGGTAGTGTGTTATGCTTCAGACCCATAGTCTTATGTAACATTGTTTCTATGGGAGAACAGGTTCTGGAGTTCCAGGCAATTGATTTGTAAAGCCATTTTGGGAACTTGATCTCTTTGTGAATGGTAATGATCTCTAGTTGTATAATTTTGCTTAAGGTGGGCTTGAAAGGGTCTTCTTCAATACTTTACCCACAATTTAGGCTTTTATTACTATTTTTAATTAAGATGAAATTCATATAGCATAAAATAAGCATTTTAAAGTGAACAATTCAGTGGCGTGTAGTACATTCACAATGTTGTGCAGTCACTACCTCTCTCTAGTTCAGAAACATCTTTCATCACCCCAAAAGGAGATCCTGACTTAAGCAGTTGCTTCACATCCCTGCTTTCCCCCAGCACTTGGCATCCACCAATCTACTGCTGTCCTAGGAATTTACCTATTCTGAATATTTCATATAAATGGAATGATACCCAATATGTGACCTTTTGTATCTGACATCTTTCTTTTGGCATAACACTTTTGACGTTCACTCACTTTGTAGCATGTATCAATCAGTACTTCATTCCTTTTTACAGCCGAATGGTATTCCTTTGTACGTATAGACTACAGTTTGTTTATCCATTCATCCATCGATGGACTTTCGGGTTATTGCCACCTTTTGGCTTTGGGGAATAGTGCTGCTATGAACATGCATGTATGTATACTTGTTTGAGTACCCTGGATTGGAATTGCTGAGTCATATGGTAATTCTGTGTTTAACTTTTTCAGGAACCGCCAAACTGTTTTCCACAGCATTTTATATTCCCACCAGCAAAGGGTTTCAATTTCTCCACATCCTTTCCTACTCTTGTTATTTTCCGCCTTTTTTACTTTTTTTTAAATAGCTATCCTCATGGGTGTGAAGTTACATTTCCTTGGGGTTTTGATTTGCATTTCCCTTTTGACTAATGATGTTGAGCATCTTTTCTTGTGCTTGTTGGGCTTTCTTTAGAAAGCTGATATTAACTGGCTACCCTGGACTCTTTTTATTGCCAAGGTACTGCATTGGAGGGACAGTGATGGGGGAAACGCTTTGAATCGTTTTGCAGAAGCCTTGCCTATAATTGACTAAGTCTACAAACATATGTCTAATATTTTAATTTTAGCAAAAATCCTAACAGAACGTTTATGTCATATTTTGGTCTATGGTGAAATTCTTCTATAGAGATGCCCCTCACAGTAGAATATCTTGCATAGTGGTTTATAAATCACGTATTTGTTAGTCAAGTCAAAGCGTTAATTGAATCTAATTAACTTTCGATTATGAAACAATTTACTTTGTCTTTTAAACAAGAAAGAATATGTTTTATATTACAGGAGGTTTCCTTAATGTGAGAATATATACTTCTATAGATACAAGAAATCATAATATCCAAACCAAACCCATTGCCGTCGAATTGATTCCCACTCATAGCGACCCTATAGGAAAGAGTAGAACTGCCCCATAGGGTTTCCAAGGCTGTCAATCTTTACAGAAGCAGACTGCCACATCTTTCTCCCCAGAGAAGCTGGTGGATTCCAACTGCCGACCTTTTGGTTAGCAGCCATAGTGCTTAACAACTGCGCCACCAGGGCTCCTTAGAAATCACAGTGTTTCCGATTAATTCCTGGCATATCGAACAAAATGTTTCTGGCATGTACATTAAAGTAATACAGTATAATTAATAATTTTTAGTAATTTAGAGTTAGAATATCTTTCAGAAGGTCCACAATTATTGAATGTTTGTTACAGTTTTACATAGAGCTGCTCAGCCTTTTCTCTTCATGGTACACATGAAAATTATAGGGCAACACACTAAATAGATGAAGCTCCTTAAGCCAGTGGTGGGCTGCCTTGATGCCTGAGGGAAGCAATGTTTCAGTACACCTTTAAACCAGACTTACCAGTTGGAAAACTGGTTGTCTTAGGCTGGGTTCTCTAGAGAAGCAAAACCAGTAAAGTGTATAAATATATAGAGATTAATATCAAGGAAACAGCTCACGTGATTGTAGAGGCTGGAACGTCCCAAGTCCGTGGATCAGGATAGAGGCTTTTCCCAGTTCATGTAGCCACAGGGGCTGGCAAACCCAAGATCGGCAAGTTGGAGAGCAGGGTTCTTGCTCACAGGCTGTGAAGATTGAAGAATTCCAGGATTGGCAGGCAAGACCGCAAGGCTTCTCCTGATTCATGTAGCTTCCGGGGCTGGCAAACCCAAGACGGGCAGGTTGGAGAGCACGGCTCCTGCTTTCAGGCTGTGAAGATTGAGGAATCCCAGTATTGGCATATAAGCTGATAGCTCAAGTCCAAGAACCGCGGGTCAGAACAGGAGGCAGCCACAGGATCCAGAGTGAGCAAAAAGCCAGAACGTCAGCTTATATTATGATGCAGGCCACACCCTCAAGGAAACTCCCTTTCAACTGATTGGCTGCTCACAGCAGATTTCATCATGGGAGTAATCAGAGATAAGCACTGAGAATCATGGCCCAGCCAAGTTGTCACACAATCCTAACCATCAAGCTGGTTTAATGTAATTTTTTAAAAAATGGTTTGGGATAATTCAACTGTTTAATACTTGATTCTGGTTCTAGAATTTGACATACATCATGCAGTAGATCTATGCCAAATTAGGTCTGCTATGTCTGTTTGAAAATGGATACATGTGTGCTGAATGATATTTTAGTCAAGATCTTTTCATTTACACACAACAGGGTGGGCATGCTTTAGGTACAGCTGGATCCAGTGTGGCTTCCATGGTCCTCATTTAAAAGTTTTAGTCCTCACTTAGGTGGTTTAGGCTTTTTTATTTTTTATATACTAAGTGAATTTTTCTGATAATACTGCTTTACTGAATGACACTTTAAGGTCAAGGTTGCTGGACCAAAAATTTGACCTCAGAGTCACTGAAATAGTTAGGGTTCTACTGATATAATAATGTGATTTTATTATATTTTTGCATGGGTTGACGCCATGTGTTAACAATTGGCTGTGGTAGAGCTTCTACATATATACTTGCAGGTATATGTACAGACAAGTACAGTAACGCTTTTCCCTGCTCTGCTTGTCTGCAGGCAGTGAAGGGAAATCTGCAAGAGTCCTGCACGCTCAAGGCCTGCATACAGGAAAGAAGCAGGGGAAAAGCGTTACAAACAGCTTTTGTTCTACAGCATTTTAAAACATAACAGGTAGGTCAGATTTTTGGTCTGTCAGCCTTGACAATGCCCCTTGAAATTGAACAGAGTCTTCCCTGAGGTAGCAGGTAATGTCATTGAAATGTATTTAAAATATTAAAAGTTCTTCATTTTAGAATTTTTGTTCTTGAAAAGAAGTAATCATTGTACATTCCCATAGTGTTATTAGATACTGGCTACTAGAACAGTTTTTCACTAACAAAAATCATTACCCAGCCTGAGCATGGCAGATGTGGTAAGGGATATATTGAAAATTCTTTTTAGATCTTCTTCTAAGATTTTTTTTTTTTTACTTCAATCCTGTGGATTAGTTGAACTCAAGTGAAAAATTATGAACCACAGATTTCCTTACATTATGGAAATATGTTTTGCACAATCTAGCCATATTCAAACATATTTGTGTCTTTAGAATATTAAAGGAACAAAAGAAAAGTTTCTACAATAACTGCTTGTAACTGCCAAGTTGCTCACATAGCCATTTTGTTTTTTTAGGTATATTGGAAAATCTGATTCAGTTACAATCAGTGTATGGAATCACAAGAAGATCCATAAAAAACAAGGTGCTGGATTTCTTGGTTGCGTTCGTCTTCTTTCCAATGCCATCAACCGCCTCAAAGACACTGGTTGTGAGTAGACACCAACGCTTTTAAAATTAAAAAAAATTTTTTTCTTTTTGTATGTTTAAAACATTGGTAAAATTTTTTTGTGATAAATGCTGTGGGTCTAAATTTATTTTGTTGACTTAAAAAAAAAAGAGTGAAACGTTTTAAATCTGGGAACCTAGAGCTGAGTTGGAGCTGATGCTTAGCTTTCAGTGAAATTTATATGTATTAAACGATTTTTATTCAGAAGCATGAAAGAAAAGTGTCAAAGCATACATGCCTTTTTTTATTTCTTAGCACCCATCTCTGGTTTTAATGGCTTTGTGAGATGAAATGAGTTTTATTAAGGTAATTGGAGTGTTTAAAGTGGCAGTTATAAGGGAATTATTAATGGGTATGAATGCTATAATATATACAAATTCCCATAAATGAGTTAGTAGCAGAACTGATTCAAAGCCACATCTTCCAGTTTATACTTGGTTTCTTATTAAAACTTACTTTGTATTTGTGTCATTTGAAATGATTAGATAAATAACAATAATAATGATGAGAATTAACATTTATTGAACACTTAAGTGCCAAGCACTGTGCAAAGAGTTTTACATAACTATCTGATTTAATCCTGAAAACAACTGTATTAGACTATTAGACTTGAGAAAATCAAAGCTCAGGGATAATTTGCTTAAGATCAACAACTAAGTGGCGAAGCCAAGACTCAGACTGAAGTCGTCTCAGAGATTTGGAGAGAAAGTAACCACATGTTGACAACGTAATGCATGGTTTTGTTTTTTTTTTAATGAGTGATCCAGTTTCTAATTTTTTTTTTTTTTTTAAGTTGTACTTTAGATGAAGGTTCACAGACCAAACTAGTTTCTCATTTTTATGACATTGGCTAACAACCCCACGAGATGTCAGCACTCCTGCCTCTTGACCGTTGGTTCCCTATTATCAGCTTTCCTATCCCCTCCTGCCTTCCAATCCCTGTCCCTGGGCCGTTGTGCCCCCCTAGTCTCGTTGTGTTTTATGGGCCTGTCTAATCTTTGGTTGAAGGTTGATTCTCGGGAGTGACTTCATTACTGAGCCCAAGGGTGTCTGGGGGCCATACTCTCGGGGTTTCTTATAATACATAGTTTTTGAAATCGGAATTTATCAAAATTTATGTTGAGGACTAATGGATCACAGCTGCCACAGCCTCCACCAGACTGAGTCTGGCACAACTAGATGGTGCCGGCTGCCACCACCAACTGGTCTGACAGGGGTCACAGTAGAGGATCCTGGATAGAGCTGGAGAAAAATGTAGAACAAAATTCTAACTTAGAAAAAAGACCAGACTTACTGGTCTGACAGAGATGGGAGAAACCCTGAGAGAATGGCCCCTGGACACCCTTTAAGTCAGTACTGAAGTCACTCCTGAGATTCACCCTTCAGCCAAAGATTAGACAGGCTCATAAAACAAAAGGAGACTAAAGGGGCACACCAGCGCAGGGGCAGGGACAGGAAAGCTGGTAACGGGGAACCCAAGGTCAAGAAGGGGGAGAGTGTTGACCTATCGTGGGGTTGGCAGCCAGTGTCACAAAACAATATGTGTATTAATTGTTTAGTGAGAAACTAATTTGCTCTGTAAACCTTCATCTAAATTACATCTAAATTTAAAAACGTGCAAAAAAAAATTTATGCTGAGACTCTTATACTAATTATCTATGCAGTTAGAGAATTTTAACATTTGTTCTACCATTAAAACACTACAGTGACATGATTAACTCTTTAAATGATAGCCTTTATTTCCAGTGGATTGTGGGAATTTACTACTCTATAGATGTTAGAATCCTTGACACCAGCTCATTTTTTAATTGCTTTTTTTTGTTGATTTAAAATAGATCAGAGGTTGGATCTATGCAAACTTGGGCCAAATGACAATGATACAGTTAGAGGACAGATAGTAGGTAAGTGTGGAGTTTAAAGTTACATGAATTTTGGCTTCATTTAAACTGACCTAAACTTTAACCTTTTAAATCAAAGTACATTGTACGTTAACAAAGTACATTAGCTTTATTGTATTGGCATGAATTAAATGAGCCATGTAAAATGTTACAAACAGTGGATCTAAGCTAACTTAATTAAAAACAAAAACTATATAGTGTAAAAAATTAGAAACTTTGGTATCCTGAAGAACTATTGACCCTTTAGGAAGAAGTTCTTTCAAAGTATTCAACTATAGTAGAGTACTGAGACAGACTTTACAAATAGTAGTAAAGTCTTCTGAAAATAATTATCAAACTGGTTTTTGAGTAAGAAAAGAATATTCTCTTGAACTCTTTGTTTACTGTTTAATGCTTTACAGTTTTAAAATAATCTATGTTAATTGCAAAAAAAAAAAAAAATAGAACGAGCAGTGGTGGTATGGGTATTAGCACTGACTGGAAAAAGGGAGAAATTGTTACCTTACTCATAAGGCACTTAGTGGGCTAATGGTCTGTCTTGAATTGACCTAGAGAAAGGGCTTTATATAAAATTTCCTGAGACTTCTCTTTAAGAATTCATAGACTGAGATCTGCTCGAGATGCATAGCCTGCATAGTAAGTACACTGAGGTAGGTGTGTTTGAGGCCCCTTAAAGAAGACATGCAATTGCAAATTGCAAGTCCATCACTTTGTGATAGAGCAGAGTTCAGAATAAGATGCTTTCACTGTGAACCTATCAGAGAGATTTTAGTTATGGAAGGTACTTGAATGGCTTCATTTTAAATGGGTTGGGTTCATAATTAGGAAATAATCAGAACGACGACATGACATAGCCCTAGTGTGGTTGTTCCAGGGAAATAGTTACACTATAGCATTATTGATGATTCTTGAGATTCTCAGATTGAGAATGGGATAAAAAACATCTCAGAATGCATCCTGGTATACAAGACTTACGTGAATTTTTATCTCTTTGATTTGGTGTGTTACGTAATGCCTGCCAACTAATGTAGTAACAAAATCGTTTTGCTAGGTGTTAATTTTCATTTAAAAGAATAACAAACTTTCCTTTGTCGGTTATTAGAAGTATACTTACTAGCATATACTACTTAAAAGACTAGTGTTTTACTTAATATTATTTTTATTTTTAATTTAAAGTTCTTGTGTGAATTTGGTATTCATGATAGAACCATTAATAAGAGGCAGTCTGGACTACATCATGTTTTCTGACCCTTTAATTCTGTGATCTGCAGATAGAATGAGTCCAATTCGTGCAGAATTAGGCCTTTACAAATATTTGTAAATAGATGTGTATAACATCTTTTTTGGGATATGGAGAAAGGTATACTAGAACACTAACTTTAAAAAACATATGTCCCCTTTTAGTATTTTCATATACATGTATTTTTTTAAATGATTTTAATTATAGGGAATATAAAATTTTATTTTGCTTTCTTTCATTTATCGTAAGCCTTTTTAGTGTTTCTCGGTAGTCTTTGTAATTAATGATTTTTAAAAGGATGCCTTCTAAAGGTATATATTTTAGATTATAAGAATTCTTTCTATTTCTGTAAATCTTAGTCATGTTTCTGTTGTTTAATAGTAAGTCTTCAGTCCAGAGACCGAATAGGCACAGGAGGACAAGTTGTGGACTGCAGTCGTTTGTTTGATAATGATTTACCAGATGGGTAAGCTGACATGATTGAAATCATTAGAAAAATGTATAGCTAGTAATATCCTTAGAATAATGAGAAAGAACTTGGTGTTTCTTATATACTAAACTTTAGAAATTTGCCATGATCAATTCCAGAATCTAGGTTTCCTTATACGTGGAAAATTAGTGGAGGGTTTTGTCATAACAAATTTATAAAATAAGCAGTGAATTAGCTATGTTAAATTTGTTTTTTAGGAGTTTTGACTAGGAGAAGAGTGAATCAGATATGTGAAATTTAGTTTTTACTAGGAGATAGACGAGATTTTTTGACAGCTCTCCTATAAATATTATGTATTTAAAAGAAAAGTTTTTTTGCTTGATTAATTTATTCAAACAGGACATACCTACAAATGCTGAATCTGAAACATTGCTCTGTTTAAAGGTATGGGATAGAGAATTTGGATAATAGTAACCATAACAGTAAGACTGAGTATTACGTGTCAGAGGAGCTCTAGTGGTGCAGTGATTAAGCGCTCAGCTGCTAACCAAAACGTCGGTGGTTGGAACCCACCAACTGCTCCATGGGAGATGTGGCAGTCTGCTTCTGTAAAGATTTACAGCCTTGGAAACCCTATGGGGCAGTTCTGCTCTGTTCTATAGGGTCACTATGAGTCGGAATCGACCCGATAGGCAATGGGTATTTGGGATGTGTCAGATACTATTGCAAGTACTTTATGTACATTTTTTCATTTAATTCAGAAAGCATCTTCGAAGGCAGTATATAGCTATAGCATGTGATTCTGGAATTAGACCACTTGAGTTCCAGTCCTTACTTTACTGCTTGCTAGCTTTGTGACCCTGATCAATTTACGAAACTTCTACAGGCTTTAGTTTGTATTCATTTGTAAAAGGGAATGATAATAATAGTGCATACCTCATAAATTGTGCAGATTAAATGAAACCTTTCATGTAAAGCACTTAGCACAGTGTCTTGCACATAGTAAATGCTTAATAATTAACTACTATTGGTACTACTGCTGCTACTTTTGTTACCCTCATTCCTTATATATTAAAAACAACTGAGACTCAGAAGTTCAATAACTCACCCAAAGCCACCATAGTAAGTGGCAGAGCTGGGGCACAAGCCTCAATCTTGATCCAGAGCTCATGCTCTTTATCACCACTCTTTGTCTGTCTTTGATACTAGTTCTGACACTTTTCTGATTTTAACTTTCAAATTATTTTTAATTAATTTTAGTAAGGTATAATTTGCATACAATAAATTGCATCCATTTAAAGTGTGCAATTTGTTGAGTTTTGACTCTACTTATTTTTGACATGAAATTTTACATCCAAAATATGGTATTTACATATATTTTTTTAAGTTGTTAAAAATCACTGTAATTTAAGTCTGTTTATAGATCACTTTGGCTTAATGATACCTGTTAACTCTTTTGTGGATGTGAGTTATAGTGTTTTTGAAGGAGAAGTTTCAAATGAAATAACTAATCAATACTGAGAGACTATAGCAATGTAAGATTTACTATTGTAAAATTTCTCTACATTATTGTACTGTAATTGTAATCAGAGGGGAGAAAATTATTTCCCTAGCATTTCTTTATTTTATTTTTAAGGCCCCCAAACCTCTGCCTTTTGGTGGAAATATTAACAGTATCACATTGCTATGTCATTTGACTAATTTTTTCTTTATATGAAAAGGTAGAGAAGTGGCATTTTTGATTTTTTAAAAAATTAGTTGGTATAGGCTGAATGCTTTTAAAAGCATCTTTTATATCCTTTTCCTTATGAAATTTGATTTTTTAAAAATTATTTTTAGTATATAGCCATTCTTTCACTGAATTCTAGAGAAATTATACTAATTAATACTAATTGAAAATTACTGAACAATTCTTAATTTGGCATGAATTAATCATACCTTAGTGTAAATATTTTAGAAGATTCAGAATTCCATAAAATATATTGTACAATTCTAAAATAAGTTGAAAAAAATCCTATATTCTGTGAATTGAACTTTCAGTTTGGCATTTCTGATTTGTAACAGCAGATGTCTTTCTGGCTTGGTGATTGCGCTGAAAATATTCTGCGTCCCAATTTCCTGTTAATAACTATTAATTCCTTATCTCTCAATGTTTTTATTTAAGTTGGGAAGAAAGGCGAACTGCCTCTGGAAGAATCCAGTATCTAAACCACATAACAAGAACTACGCAATGGGAACGCCCAACACGGTAAGAAGATACAAATATTTGCCCATGGTGTTTGTCCATGCTGTTTGTCCTCCTTGAATCCCTTTCTGTATATCAGCTTTACTGGATTTCTTTTCTTGGTTTATATAGGTGTAGGTCAGTAAATCTTATGGCATTTCCCCTTATTTTTTTAAAAAAGATCTAAAAATTGGTTAGCAGATTATCCTTTTAGTGTAGCACCAGGGCCTGGCATGGTACATGATAAATATTTACTACATGAATTAAATGAACAAATTGAGAAGTGCTTTTATTTCTGGGACTCTTCAGTTGTTTGGGTTTTTTGTTTTGTTTTGAGTTTGAGTTCATTGTTGAATGGCTGTAATAAAATAAATACATCCAAGGGTCTTCCATTCTTTCAGTCACATAGGGGGATTCTGTGACCAAGATAAGAACCAGATGCGCTGGGACTATATGGTAGGGGCACTAGACTTAGAGTGGGGGTAAGGCAATGGAAGAACTTGTGGTGGAAAACTGTCCAAAGGAGAAGAACCTCTGAACTAAACCTTGAAGAATGTTAGGATTTAGTTCGGTAAGGGAAACATGATGAGTAGTGTTCAGGGTGGTGGTAACTATGCTCAGCATTTGGGCTATAATCATGAACACGGCAAAAAAGCAGATGTAGTCCCTTCATGGAGCTTAATGTATAAAAAGACATGGGGATATAAGATAATTTTTTGGAAACTACAAGGAGGTGCTTTTTAAGTAATTGAAGATGAATAGGATAAGGATAAGTGCCTGGATCCCTTCTCCCCAAGCAAATCTGACATGAGGTGTAGAACATCAGATGCTTCTCATTGACTCTACCTACTTTTATGTATTAGGGATTAGTTGCTTAAATCATTGAATCACAAAGTTTTCTCTGATTCTTAGGTAAAAGCTTAATCATTTTAAAAAATGTTGATTTGAGAATTGCATTTCTAGTATTAAACTGCAAAGGATTTTATTGAAGTTGAAGGACCTGTTTTTATTATATCTGAACATAAATGAATGTGTTCTTGTGTAGTGTTTTAGTGAAGCCCATTTCCTTTTAACTCATTTAACTGATAAAATTGACTTTTATTTGCACATGTATAAAGTTAATACTTGTAAATGTTAGCTTTTTAAAAAAAACTTTGATTTTTCTTTTATCTTGGAAGATATGCATTGAACTGGAATCTCCTTGAAGTGAGCAACTGTCTTCTTCTCTTTATTCATTCAAAAAGTATTTATTGAGCTTATCTCATATGCCAGGCACTGCTCTAGTTGCTGGGGATATAGTACAGAACAAACTAGGAGAGCCTCTTCTCTCAATGAACATTCTAGTGAGGGGAGACAGACAAAATAAGTATGTAAATAAACAAGAAAAATAACAATGGTAAGTGCTATACTGAAGAACTAAGGTGATGTCACCCAGTCATTTGACAGTTCTACTTTAGATTGGCAGGTCAGGAAGGACCTCTTAGGAGGCAACACGTAAGCTTAAGCTATGATTTCTATGAGAAAAAAAAAGCCAGGCCTTGGAAGAGTAAGAGAAAGCACATTCCAGGTGGAAGGAAGAGCTACTCATGAATACTGAAAGTAGAATGACCTTGGCAAGTTCAAGGAATAGACGAATTACAGTGTGGAGAAAGCAAAGTGGGAAGGAGAGTGATGGGAAACAAGGTCCTTAAGGTGGGCTGTAGCTAGATCAAGTAAGGCTTTGTAAGCCAGTTCTCACATCTACAAACATACATGGATTTTGTATAAAACATAATTAAAGTGAAAATAAAATCTTTTAAATACGTAATTGACAACATGCTTATCACTTGAGTTTTTTTGGTGTTTAGAGACTTCAGCCTTTGCTTTTTACTTATTTCTTTTAAAATCATTATATTTTGTATTAACCATTCCATTTTCTTATAAGTTATTGTTGTGGTAGTATACACATGGCCTAGAGAACTCTACTTTTGATATCTGAGTTGAGTAACTTTTTTTTCCTTGTTAACTTTTCAATAGACCGGCATCAGAATATTCTAGTCCCGGCAGACCTCTCAGCTGCTTCGTTGATGAGAACACTCCAGTTAGTGGAACAAATGGTGCAACATGTGGACAGTTGTCAGATCCCAGACTGGCAGAGAGGAGAGTCAGGTCACAACGACATAGAAATTACATGAGCAGGACACATCTGCATACTCCTCCAGACCTCCCGGAAGGCTATGGTATGACAACTAACAGAGGAAAAATCAAATGTGATTTACTGATTTCAGCTTTCTAAGAAATCCAGAAAATCAATTAAAAAAATATTTCTTAATCTGTATTTAGATAAGATTTTGCATGAAAATGAAAGTAAATGCAAAACTTCCCAACTTTGAAAAGTCTCTGAAATAGTAGAAGACTACCTAACCAGCAGTTTGACCTTGGGCTAGCTATTTAACCTTTACCGTTTCGTTCTTTTATAATGAAGTGAGATGAATAATACCTCCCCTATCACAAAGTTGTTGTGAGGAGCACCTGAAACAATGGGAGACTACTTTGTAAATAGGCACTATGTAAAGGTAAGGTAGTATTGTTATTAATAACTGGTAACCTGAAGTTGGAGTCCCCAGGTGGCACAGATGGTTAAGCACTTGACTACTAGCCGAAAGGGTGGTGGTTCGAACACACCCAGAAACGCCATGGAAGACAGGCCTGGGGATCTGCTTCCAAAAGGTCACAGACTTGAAAACCCTATGGAGAAGTTCTGCTCTATACACATGGGGTCACCGTGAGTGAGAATCGACTTGACAGCAAATAACATTCTGAAGTTAGACCTGCAATGTAATTTTCTAGACATATATATTTAAAAATAATATAAAAGTCGTACTGCTGAAGGTATTTATCAATTATATTGGTTACAATTTTGGATTATCTGAGTGATTGGATTATTGTTGTAAATATTTAGTCACCTCTTTGTTTAAGAAGCCCTGGTGGTGCAGTGGTTAAGTGCTTAGCTGCTAACTGAAAGGTCGGCAGTTCGAACCCACCAGCCACTCTGTGGGAGAAAGATGTAGCAGTCTGCTTCCGTAAAGATTACAGCCTTGGAAACCTTATGGGACAGTTCTACTCTATTCTATAGAGTCACCATAAGTCGGAATTTACTTGATGGCAATGATTTTTTTAATGGGATGTTTGTATAAAATTGTTATAATCTTATACAAGCTCCTAGAATTGTAGGACTTCATGTGGAAAATTACATGAGCCTTCTAGTTGTATGTAGAACTTTCTAAGTTAATCACAACTTGTGAACATTATTGTATATAGCAACAACTCTATACAACAAACCTAAATGACTCATTAATGACCTGTGATATGCAGATGACACTACCTTGCTTGCTGAAAGTGAAGAGGACTTAAAGCACTTACTGATGAAGATCAAAGACCACAGCCTTCTGTGTGGATTATACCTCAACATAAAAAAAAACAAAAATCCTCACAACTGGACAAATAAACAACATTATGATCAACAAATGGAGAAAAGATTGAAGTTGTCAAGAATTTCATTTTACTTGGATCCATAATCAATGCCCATGAAAGCAGTAGTCCAGAAGTCAAATGACTCATTGTATCAGGCAAATAGCTACAAAAGAGCTCTTTAAAGTTTTAAAAAGCAAAGATGTCACTAAGGTGCACCTGACCCAAGCCATAATGTTTTCAGTCACCTCATGTGCATGCAAAAGCTGCACAGTGAATAAGGAAGACTGAAGAAGAATTGATGCCTTTGAATTATCGTGTTGGTGAAGAATATTGAATATACCATGGACTTCTAGAAGAATGAATAAATCTGTCGTGGAAGAAGTACAGCCAGAATGCTTCTTAAAAGCAAAGATGGCAAGACTTCGTCTCATTTACTTTGGACGTGTTATCAGGACAGACCAGTCCTGGAGAAGGACATCCTACTTGGTAAAGTAGAGGATTAGCAAAAAAGAGGAAGACCCTCAATGAGATGGACTGACACACTGGCTGCGACAACTGGCTCAAGCATAGCAGCGATTGTGACGATGGCACAGGAGTGGGCAGTGTTTCATTCTGTTGTGCATAGGGTTGCTATGAGCCGGAACCGACTCGACGACACCTATCAAAAACTACCAGCTTCTCCTTGCTTGCTAATGCTGACCAAGGGTGCTTATTAGGTCCTTGGTCTCTCAACACTGACTGTCACTAAACTATTCTGGGCTGATGGTGACACCTAGTGACCAGTGTTGGGTATTGTGTGATCTAACTTTTATTTTTACTTTGGAATATTTTTTAACTGTTCTGCAAGTGCATGATTCTATTCTATTTTTAAACATCTTTTGACTCTTGAAGTAGTTAAAAAAAAATTACTCACTAACTGTTCGTTCATGAGTGGGAGTTAGATAGACCTGGGTGTATATCCTGGTTTTGCAACATGTTAGCTGGGTGACACTGGGCACGTTATTTAACTTCCCTGACCCTCAGTCTTCTCTTCCATAAAATGGGAAGAATAATAGAACCAATCATGTAGGTTTTTTGCAAGAAATAAATGATATAATTTCATGTGAAATACCCGACACAATGGCATAGAAAGAACTTAGTAAATCTTAGCTGTTATTATTAACATTCAGGCCTTAGAATAAAGCATCTCCTTTCATTTCTCTTTAGTTGAGATTATAAACCAAGTTGTTTGGAGTGGGCAGGGGTAGTTATACTTGTACAGTATTTGTGTAGTTTGAATTTAAAGATTCTGTACAACCAGAGCATACACATAAAGTGAAATTACTGAAACTGTCACTTATTTTAAATATTTTTTTACTTATAATTTTAAAAAGCTTAGTTGATTGACTTTTTAGGGTGATAAACAAATTAAATTTACACTGATTAATACTAGCAGTAGTTTATCATTTATATATTGGAATTTCCCATTAGATTTCATTTAAAGAAAAAGGTTTTCTTGCTTAAAAAAAAAAAATTAGAAAACACCACTGAAGAAGCTCTTTTAAGACTCTTCTTCTCTCTGTCTTTCCCACTCTCTTCCCAAGAACTTTCAGTTAATTTCACCTTTAGCTTTTTCTCCCCGGTATGCACCTATCCTCTTTAATCCTCTTCTGTCTAACTTGGTTATTTTTCCATGTCTGCCTGTTTATGGCTATAGAATGTCTCCTGTGAATCCCATTTTTTTTAGCTTCTGTTTGAGCCCAACCACTCTTGAAAATACATGTTCGTCTAGAAAAGAGAATACATAGGTTTTTGTATAAAATTAGGCATAATAAATAAGCATCATCAGCCTCCATATCCTTCAGAAGTTTCTGGAAGAATCCTCAGAATCTCCCCGAAGTTGGCCAGCCTCTTTCTCTGAGTCTTCTTTTGTTCTCTCCAGGCTCCATATTTAAGACAAATAAAAGATCATCTCATCATCTTTTATTTGATCTAATTATTGGTATTGTGACAATCCTGTTTTCTGTTCTCCACTGTGACATGTTGAGTATTTGAGCCACATAAGTTAAGTTGGCTTTTAGATAGTTGATCTATGAACTTCATCACCATTTATAAGATTGCTTCCAGGGGAAAATGTGTTCTAAGTTCAGAACAAATGATTTATAAAACAACTTTTTTGTAATAAAATAGATTTGCAGTTTGGAGGATTTCCCTGTTAGTGTAATATTGTCTTAGTGTGTATAGCTGTCTTTGATTTGGACTTTATGAATATGTTTTTAAATTCTACAGAACAGAGGACAACGCAACAAGGGCAGGTGTATTTCTTACATACTCAGACTGGTGTGAGCACGTGGCATGATCCAAGAGTGCCTAGGTAGGAACATATTTTAAGTACTCTTCATACCGTTTGAATATCCATTTTCCCTAGGATTTTTTTGATTACTTAATCTTTAACTTCTAAAAATAGCATGTGTAAAAGTTTGGCTCTTTCTGATAATCATTTCAGTGTGATATTTAGTAGAAAGTCCTACCTACTCTGCAGTCTCACTCCAGTGTGTCACTCCTTCCCCTCCCAAGCCCCTCTTTTCTGCTGCCCCCTAAAAAGAGGGGAGAGGCAAAAACATGGGTCTTGCAGGAGTTTGAATATTGACCTGGGGTAAAACACACAAAACATACCCTTTAAAAAAGGGTAGTAGCTTGACATTTCTGGTTAGACTTTTTAAGAAAGTTTTATTTTAACCTTATATAGGTGTATTCAGTGTTCTTTTATACATTTCTTAGTAAAGTTTCATTTTAATGTAGAAAAGAAAATAACCTTATTTAATTTCTTTACATAATATAGTACGTAATGTAGTAACAATGGTCATTGGTCCATTAAAAGTCTTGCTTTTTCTATTGCAGCAGTAAACATTAGACCATTCTTCCTTAGGTGTCTTAAACAGATTCTTCATTTATTAACTTTATGGATTCTGAAATTCCAAATGGAGCAGTTATTCTTTAAAAAATATGTTATTTTCAGGCTCATAATTTCAATAACATTTTCAGTTTTGCTTTGTTGGAGAGTTTACTTTTATTTACAACTAACCATTGTCAACATTTATTTACACAAATTTTATGATGTAGTAAAGAAAGAAAAAATTGAAGGTGAATTTTAGAAAATATTTCATTCCTTGTATCGCTGACACTTGCAAAATGATGTTTTCTATCAAAACAAATATTGAAGTATAACTTACGTTGGCAGATATTGCAATTGTTTTTATGTTCATTTAAAATCATATATAACATTAAAGCCCTAGGAACTTAGTTACTAAAAACGTAGGCTATGTGATAAATTTTTTTGAGCCATTTATGGATTGGGTTTTGAGTACTCGGCGTTTGTTAAGCCATTGGGAATTAAGGATTCCAGCTGAACATCTCAGGTTTCTGAAACAATACATTTTCTCAGACTTCATGGAATTGTTCTGTGTCATTTGCACTGACTTGGCTCAGCAGGCCCAGCAATGAGGTTATTTTTTATTTTATATTTGTTTTTGCAGAGATCTTAGCAACATCAATTGTGAAGAGCTTGGTCCACTGCCTCCTGGATGGGAGATCCGTAATACGGCAACAGGCAGAGTTTATTTCGTTGACCATAACAACAGAACAACCCAGTTTACAGATCCCCGGCTCTCTGCTAACTTGCATTTAGTTTTAAAGTGAGTTTTTAAAATAGTACACGTTAAAATGCAAGTCTGAGTAAGAGGAGACAATAACACACTTTTTGTGATAAGTATGATAGAATGCCTTTTCTCTTCAACTATAAATTACTTGTTAAGCAGACTTTATGTAAGAGTGTGACATGTTTTACTGTGGTATGAGGTTTCTTGTTTTTTTTTACCATTTTAAGTGTACGATTCATTGGCGTTAAGTACATTCACAGTGTTGTGTAACCATCCCTGCTATTTCCAGATAGTTTTAACATCCTAAACAGAAACTCTATACCTATTAAATAATAACTTCCTTCTACCCTCTCCTCCCAGCCCCTCTAGTCTACTTTCTGTCTTTATGAATTTACCTATTTTAGGTACCTCATATACTAAGTGGAATTATACAATATTTGTTCTTTTGTGTCTTATTTCTCTTAGCATAATGTCTTCAAGGTTCATCCATGTTGTAGCATGTATCAAAATTTTATTTTTCCTTTATGGCTGCATAATTTTTCATTGCATGGCTGTACCACATTTAATTTATCCATTCATCCATTGATGGACACTTAAGTTGTTTCCACCTTTTGGCTATTGAGAATAATGCTGCTGTGAAAATTGGTGTACATGTATCTGAGTTCCTGCTTTCAGGTCTTTTGAGTATATACCTAGGAGTGGAATTATTGGGTCATTAAGTAATTCTATTTTTAACTTATTGAGGAACCACCAAACTGTTTTCCCTATTGGCTATACCATTTTGTAGTCCTACCACTGGGAGTGGATTGGCTGAATCATATGGTAGGTTTATGTTTAACTTTTTAAGAAACTGCCAGGCTGTTTTCAAAATAGTTGTACCATTTCCTCTGTGGGAGAAAGATGTGGCAGTCTGCTTCCGTAAAGATTACAGTCTTGGAACGCTATGGGGCAGTTCTGTTCTGTCCTGTAGGATTGCTGTGAGTTGGGATTGACTCCACAGCAGCGAGTTTGGTTTTTTTATTTTTATTTTTAAATAGGTGTGTAGTGGTATCTCATTGAGGTTTTAATTTGCATTTCCCTGATGACTAATGATGTTGAGCATCTCTTCATGTGCTTATCTACCATGTGTCTTCTTTGGTAAAATCTTTTGCCCCGTTTTAAATTGAGTTGTTTTGTTTTTTTATTGTTGAGTTTCGACAGTTCTTCAGATATTCTGGATACAAAACCTTTATCAGATATATGCTTTGCAAAGATTTTCTCCCAGTCTACAGCTTTCCTTTTTTTTTTTTTTTTTGAAGAACAGAAGATTTCTTTTAAATTTTGACGAAGTTCAGTCCGTCCACTTGTTATTTTATAGATTGTCCTTTTCGTGTCATATCCAAGAAATCATTGTCTAACCCAGGTCTTAAAAATTTTCTGTGTGTTTAGATGTTTTAGAGTTTGACATTGAAGTCTAAGACTCATTTTGAGTTAATTTTTGTATCTGGTCTGGATATATCCAAGTTCATATTTTTGCACAAGCCTATCCAATTATTTTTGGAGTGTTTTCTATCTAATATTCCATTGTTTTGGTTTTGGTTGGGGTAGTATTTCATAACACCTTTTTCTATTATAATGTTTGCAAAAGTAGTTAATATAACTTATAATTTACAACAAAGCTCTATTTTCTCTGTATGGGTCATCTGTAAGAATAATATTGTTTTAGGTATGAAACTTGACCTGGTAAGTAAGAAACTTAACTTCTGGTACTGTATGTAAAATAAGTTTGGGTGATTTGTTAGTGAGATGAAAGTTATTTTTGTGTATTTTATCGTAACTGTCATTGCCTTTTTACCTTTAGAGTAGGAGATTGTGTTCTTGTCCGTTGTATACAAAATTGATTTTAAACTCCAGCTGTATCACTCAGTGACTGCATAGGCATCACTAGTGAATTATGTAACTTTTCATTTCCTGGCACCTTATTGGAATTAACTAGTTTATTATATCATAGGGTTCTTTGTTTTAGAAGATTCTTAGATGCAACTCATATTATTTTATGCCTGGAGAATAAAAGTATATCTGGGCAAGTGTATGTTTTTTATTATTATTTTTATTTCTTCTTATTTTATTTTTATCATTAATATTATTATATAGTGAATAATATTTCTGGTGTGCTTGGGAGACTATTTTCATGTATTTATAGAAAACTGTGCATTTACAGTTAGAAGTGCTCATTTATCCGTGCCAGCTGCTATTTCAGACTCTTCTTCATCTTTTCCAGACAGGACATTTATAGCAGACTCTAGGTAACAGGCACAGTGTTTGGCATATTTTTAAATGAGTGAAGTAAACTATTCAGAGGAAAATGGAAATGACATTTGAGAAGTTTGTTCTCAGCAGCTGTATAAAACTTTATAGATAATACTCCATTATCCAATAGTGTGAATTCATATGTTATAAGAGAAATAAACTTTGGAACTGGTTTATCATTGCCAAAAAAGTCAAGCCAAGCGTTATGCCCTAGTAAGACTTGGAAAATGATATAGCTAGAATTATGTTATAAAAGTAGGATGCTATTTTAAAATATACAGTTGCAATCCTTTTTATTTAAAATACTTTATTAATATCTCTATTTACTTCTAGCCGGCAGAACCAGTTGAAAGACCAACAGCAGCAGCAAGTGGTATCATTATGCCCTGATGACACGGAGTGTCTGACAGTCCCAAGGTACAAGCGAGACCTGGTTCAGAAACTCAAAATTTTGCGGCAAGAACTTTCCCAACAGCAGCCTCAGGCTGGCCACTGCCGCATTGAGGTTTCCAGGGAAGAAATTTTTGAGGTAAACTTACAAGTCTTATTTTAAAATAGGGAAAAATTGAATCATAATGTTTTACTCTCTCTTTTCCCTTTTTGGGACTCATATCCCTTTAAAGTGAGAAGGTTCTCATTAATTTCCTTTTTAATTGTGAAGAATAAAGGCAATAATATTGAAGAGATTTAATATATGAGATAAACGTTGAAATGGGATGAAGAATGTGAAATGTTCTGGGTGATTCAGCTTGGTCTCTGCATTGCAAATACTTATTTGTTAGTAAATTTTAAGACTGCAAATACTATTCATCCTTTAGTTCTTAATTATTCCAAAAGGTAAGGGACTCTTAAATGAGAAAATCATTTTGTTTAATTACTATGGACTACTTCCTTAATTTACTGAAAATTTTCCTTTCATGAATACCTTTTTGTCTTTGAATTATAGCCCTAAAATCAGCTTCAACGTTCTTGCATAATAGGTTGCAGAGGTCAAAGGAAGGGGTTTTCCACTCATTAGAGCATTTGGGCAAAAGGTGTTTGGGGACATGACAATCCCAAAGGATGAACTTTTTCTCTGAGAACCGTTCTGACCTTGTTTGTGGTCAATCCTTCGTATTTTAAAATAATATAAAGTTGTCAATTTAATGAAGATACACATTAATGATGACTTAAGTTCTTTTGAAACTTCCGTATCTGACTTTCCGTTGGTGTCTTTCACCTAGAATTAGGTAAACCAGTTTTTAAAAATCTGCTATTTCTTTCAAATTTTGTCTTTTAATATGGGCGTGGAAACACTGCTATGGTTCTGGAATTAAAACATGGAGTTTTGCAACTAGTAGGCTTTTAATATAGTATTTCAGTAGCATTATGTAGCATTAAACTATATTCATTTTGCTTTTAAAAGTTCCATAAAATATAAAACATTTGGAGTTTAATTAATTTGATTATTAAACAAATTTCACCTTATTTAAATAAACGTGTTTTTTGGATGGAATGGGAGGAAGAGTTTAAATAGTAGGTTAAAAACACCTAGTAATAGGATATTTAAAATTTTTTAGGAATCATATCGGCAGGTCATGAAAATGAGGCCAAAAGATCTGTGGAAGCGGTTAATGATAAAATTTCGTGGAGAAGAAGGCCTTGACTATGGCGGGGTTGCCAGGTAAAGACTTGCTTATCAGTTAATGACATGTAGAACCTCATACCTACAGATTTAAGATAATTTCCTGTAGTGTAACCTTATCATTGACATTTATTTTCTAGTATACTATTCCCAAACGTTTGTAGTACAGAGGATATCCTAATAGAAATATCTATAGTGAGGTTAGGGTAGTACTGCTACCAAAAAGTATTTTAGAATTTCCTAATGGATCATATAGCCCAATGAGACTTTCTCTGAAACCCAAAATGGACGGACTATTGATAGGATCTGCAGGTCCCCTGTTTCTTCTCCATCTCTCTCCTTCACTCTATGTTATTACCTCTGCTTTATGTTGTCTGAAACCGTCTTGAGACTTTAATGATACATAATTTAAACTGAAAGAGCCCTGGTGGTACAGTGGTTAAGCACTCAGCTGCTTACTGAAATGTTGACAGTTTGAAACCCACCAGCATGTCTTTGGGAGAAAAGACCTGTCGATCTGCTCCCATAAAGATTACAGCCTGGGAAACCCTATGGGGCAGTTCTGCTCTGTCCCATAGGGTTGCAATGAGTCGGAATCGACTTGACAGCACACGACAACAGCACAAGAATTCAAATTGAATACTGTTTCCTTTGCTTCTATTGTCATGCTTCTTAACCTTGTTCAGAATGGTCAGTATATTTGGAAATTTTTATATGCCAGAGGGAAAAGAACACTTAAAAGTATTGTTTGAATTTAAAACACACACATTTACACGCATGTATATATATTTCTTTTTTCTACCAGAGAAATCAATTCGACTGTATGTAAATGGAGCAGAAACATTATATAGCTTCTGTATTAAAATGTTGTAAGGACCTTCATGATAATTCTCATGAATCCAACCTAAATTAAATTTTTGTTTTTCATTAAGTCCTATAATTTCCATTTAGCATTCCTCTGTGTTCATATATAGACTTTATTTTGTTCTGTGACCTTTTTACCTGCAAATGGATACGTTCTTTAATTTGAAGTTTTAAAAACAGTCTCTTGCATATCATACTTAGTTCTTGATAGTTTCTGTGGAATCTTTATTATTTGTGACTAGATTTTGAATGCTTGTTGGGAATTTGTAATTATCTGCTGATGCATCTAAGTGCTATAATTATACTGTAAAGGCCACATAAGTAGTGAGGTTTTTTTTTTAACTTTACTACTGTTGGTCTGGACAAACTAAATGGGATGTGGCAATAAACAGCTTTTTCTGAACTTTACTCTGTGGTAGACTCCAAGAGCAGTTGGGTCCTGCTCTTACACACCAAATACTTGGTGAAAGAAAACAAAAATTTGGATTTTCTTTAAAAAACACACACACACACGCATAAAAAGCACACAGGACATGCCAGTTGAGTGGTGTGTCTGTTGGGAGGGTTGTTTATGTGGAGAATTCACTTTTTTAATAAATGGTGGTAATTTGATTTAGACTGCATCTCATTGTAGATTTTTTGAAACGTTTTCCTTTAACTAGTTGTTCATAATATTCCACAGCATTTACTAAAAATATATTTAATCTGCTTAAACCATAATATCAAGACACATTTAAGTAACTTTCCCTAGCTGAGGAATGACAAGAGTTGAGACTAGAACTGCATCTCCTAAATCCTAGACTTATAATTTTTTTCCTATTTTACAAAGCCACAAGTAACAAGTTTTCTTTTATACTTTGAAAAATATAAAGGATTTAATAAGCTTGAAACAGTAATACAACTTACTATGAGGTTTTAAAAACATTGATGTACAAGTCAAGAAGTTGTCTGGACATTCCCAGAGTACAAGCTTGCCCTTGTGTCTACATTTATACCAAACTCCCTGGAATCTCTGACCACTTAAATTTTTTATTATGATATACAATAAAAGAGGATGACATGGTAGTGAAATTTTCCTTACTAAAATAACACTAATAAGAAAACACACCCCTGTCCAAAACTGAGAGTAAATTAGTGCTATATATAATATATCTATATATACTATCGAGTATAAATCTGCCACAGTAGGAGTGGACCAGGGTTGTATAAATCATGTGGGCATTTTGAAATAAGACCATATTCTTCCCTTCATTTTATGTTTATCATGGATTACAAGTTTATTTAGCAATTAAAAGTAACAGACCACAAACTGCAGCATCAAATGAATAATTGGTATTTCTGGATAGTAGCTTTATACTCTGTGATGCTGAAGTTTAATAAAATTACCCCAAAGTTGAGTGAGAAGTGACTTCAATATAAAAAAACAAAAATTTCTACTTGCTATTTTGGCATGGTAGATTTTTTTCAGTGTAGTCTTATATAACTACAGTTAAGTGCTTTATTTCTTTTTATTAATTTAAAAAATTCTTTGCTAAAATGATTAATGGTATGGCTTAATAAAAATATATTCATTAACAAAAAAATTCCTTTGTTATATCTTGTGTTCTAGGGAATGGTTGTATCTTTTATCCCATGAAATGCTGAATCCATACTATGGGCTTTTCCAATATTCAAGAGATGATATCTATACATTGCAGATCAATCCTGATTCTGCAGTTAATCCGGTATGATTTGTAGTTATGTTGATGTGAATTAACTTGTGACCTACAATGCTTTAAATGTCAATGTAGTTTATTACATAGAAATTGCTTATCTTGTCCTAGTCATACCCTTTGACTCAGCAGTTCTTCTAGAAAAAGTTCACAAGTAAATGATTATGGATATGTTCAACAATTTGGGTACAAGGATGTGTATTGCATCATTGTTCAGTAACCCCAACTGGAAACAGCATAGCTGACCACAAGAGGGAGGTTGATTAAATTATGACATGAAGCAGAATAACATAAATGATTGAGCATATAGATTCTGGAATTAGACATGGGATCATGTCCTGGTCCCGCCACTTACTAGCTTTGTGACCTTGGGCAAATTCATTGACTTAAGCTTCAATTTCATCTTTGCTAACAACAATAAATATAGTTTGTACCTCAGAGAGGAGTTGTAAGAATTACATGGGACTGTGCATATTAGGCATTTAACACAGTTCCTGGTACATTATTAAGTGCTCAAAAAGTTAGCAGCTGTTATTAATTTATTATTGTTATATTGTTTCCGTTATCTTTCCATATAAGGGTATACTATACAACTGCTAAAATGATATTGTGGAATAATAGTTAATGACCTGTAAAGGTGGTGTTCATGATACGTTAAGTGAAAAGAAGGTTGTAAAATAGCATAATACAATTTTGGTAAATATTTATATGTGTAAACATGAAAAGGCTCCACACTATACTAGTTAAAGTGGTTACCTCAGGATATTAGATTATGGGTGATTTTTATTTTCTGTTTCGCTTGTCTGTATTTTCTAAATATTTTATGATGAGCATGTATTACTTTTTTTAAAAAAAAGCAATTTTTCAGATAAAAGGGAACAGTGAAATATTAAAAGATAAAAGGGAGGTTTAAAGATAAGCTTAAAGATTATTTATTAAATAGAGAAGTAAAAATTCTAAAATACAAATATCTAACAAAATATAAGGAAAGAGCAGACATATCTGAACATGGTAGAAACGTTAGATTCATTGCAGGGAGGTCTTCATAAAGGGATGATCTTTAGCTGAAGGTTCTGCTTGAGGATCCCATTACTACCACTGCCAGTAATAACAGCTCACATTTGTTGAGTGCTTAATATGCTGGTGGATTTCATCATATCATTTTACTCCTCACAGAGACCCTTTTTATATACTATCATTATCTCCATTTTTCCAGATGTGGAAAATTAGTCTTATAGCGGTTAAGTAGTTTGCCCATGTATGCATAGCTATTTAGGGCAGAATCAGGATTCTAATCCAAGACTGACACCAGATCTGTGCTCTTAAGTATATGGTGTTTTGAGGTTTAATTTCTGGTTAGGTCAAGGAAGTGAGCAGGGCGTTTAGTATTGAAAGCTTTTTTTTCCCCCTCATGACAGAGCCAGGGTTCTAAGAGGCACAGCAGGAGGTGAGTGGAGAGGAGGAGAACGGGAATCTATGAGCGATTTAATGAAACTGCAGTAAGACTATAATTTGGACTTAATTTCTAAAAATAAATTTTATAAAGTACCTACGCCCTTTGAGAGAGGCCTTGACCCTTGTATATTATTTTACATACCTGTAGAGAACCTGGAGCATGTACTATAGAAACAATCCCTAATGATTACTGAGCTTTGGTGTGATAGCCTGTTCCATTTAAATAGCTATAAATTAGTGTATAATTTTGATCTTGTTATCAAAAAAGATCATCTTTGCTTATGCTTAAACATTTAATTTTTATTAAAAATTCCCTGGATAGTTTCTAACTTGAGTATTTATATAAATTGTTTTCAATTTCAGGAGCATTTATCCTATTTCCACTTTGTTGGCCGGATAATGGGAATGGCTGTGTTTCATGGACATTATATTGATGGTGGTTTCACACTGCCTTTTTATAAACAGTTGCTTGGGAAGTCAATTACTTTGGATGACATGGAGTTAGTTGATCCAGATCTTCATAACAGTTTAGTGTGGATACTGTATGTATTGAATCCTGTATCTGTTCATTATAGTTAGCATTTGAGCTTTTAAAAAAGATATGTTACAAAATGAATGTACGTTTTTTAATTTAAAGAACTATGCACAGAAAATATTTATGAGTGGCTGTAACTGAGTTATTTTTAAAAGAAAAAAATCTAATATACTCTATTTGAAAAAATACTAATTAAAATGATTCTCTCTACGTGATCGAAGTTCTGTTCCAACCCTGCACGTGTTAGAATAGCAGATTCCTCCTGCCAGTGCTTTCAATGAAGTGGTAACTTTGAAACCATGCTTTTTAAAGGGTATCTGTAAGAACTGGTTCTGCTTTGCAGAGGTCATTAGTTGATGAAGATAACGTTGGCGATACTTATTTTCACAAAACACACAAGTAGTTTTCTCACTGGGGATACTCACATGTTTGGTCACTCGGAGGTACCCAGATTCAAATCATACCTATTGCCTAAATGACTAACGTAATGGAAATTTTCCTATATTGGTGGTTCTGACAAAGACCAGCTTTGGCTGGCCTCTTCTCTAATTACTCAGGAAGTGAAGTGTTTCTAATGTTTATGGAGGTTAAAGCTCTTTGACTTTTCTGCCCAAGAACCAGGTGGTATGGTAGCATAAGAACAAGAGGATCTAGCCTTATTTTGTCATATAACGCTATCTTAATTTTATCTCTCACCAGTTAATACATCTGTAGGATCTGTATTTTAGGTTTTCCAGTTAAGTATGTTTCCTTCTCTTTTTTTTTTCTAGTGAGAATGATATTACAGGTGTCTTGGACCATACCTTCTGTGTTGAACATAATGCATATGGTGAAATTATTCAGCATGAACTTAAACCAAATGGCAAAAGCATCCCTGTAACTGAAGAAAATAAAAAAGAATATGTCAGGTAAACACTTCTGTGTTCTCAAAGCTGAGAATTTATTCAGTGTTCTAGAATGGCCATAAGATAAAAACATTTAAGAATTTAGATCGTGTTACTTATTGCTATAAAATAGGCTACTGAAGAACTTAGTAGCTTAAAACAACAATCATTTTTTGATTTCTTATAATTCTCTGGGTCACTAATTTGGACAGACAGCAACAGGGATGGCACATCATTACTCCAAATGATGTCTGCTGGGACTGAAATGTCGAGATGACCTCTTTACTCATATCTGATGCCTCAGCTAGGATGGCTCAAGTGGCTGGGGGCTGGCTGGCACGGCCCAACTGGGGCCCAGGGGTCACTGTCTAGGGCTTTAGTTTCAGTGTTGCCTGGGTTCCATGGTTCTCCTCATGCAGTGTCAGGGGCCTTTTCCTCTCCCCTCCCAGGAAGTTAGCCAGACTTCTCATGGGATAGCTGACTTCACAGAGCATAAAAACAAAAACTAATAGATCTTCTTAAGGCCTAAACCTAGAACTGGCAAGTGGCACTTCTGCTGCATTCTTTTGGTTAAAGTGAGTCATATGCCAGCCCTGTTGAGTGTGGGAGGGGCTGTACAAAGGCGTGAATACCAGGAGGCACAGTCATCAGAGCCATCTATATAGTGTAGCTGCCACAGGTAGCAATACAGAAGTATTTTTGTGCTTTATTACATGGGCTCCTTTTACGCTGGTTTTTAGCATTGTACAGTATAAGTTTAAAAATAAATTTCATCAAGATTTTAACTTGATGAAAATATTTTCTTTATCATGTTATGCATGGAACATATAGATACTGACCTAATGACTCTCTCTATATATGTAATATATTTGCATACAGACCATCTAAACTCTAGTAAGCTTTAAGTTTACTAGAAGTTTCTCTGATCTGATTTGAAGATTTGAATTACTTATGGTGCTTTCGTTAGTGGAGGTTACCAATTTTTATCCATATTGAACTGCCTCACAGCTCAGGATCCATTTATCCCCATTAATCTGAGATTCTTTCAGACTTCAGACTAAATTCGTAATGCTAGATGCTTGACCCGTCCCTGGAGAAGGACATCATGCTTAGTTAGGTAGAGGGTGAGTGAAAAAGAGGAAGACTCTTGGTTCAGATGCAGTGACACAATGGCTGCAACAATGGGCTCAAACGTTAACTATTGTGAGGATGGTTCAGGACCGGGCAGTGTTTCATTCTGTTGTACGTAAGGTTGCTGTGAGTCAGAACTGACTTGCTGGCACTTAACGACAGATGCTTGTAAAGTACAGTGGTGCTGAAGCAGAAGTTCATAATATATTACTAAATCTGAATATACCTCTAAACCCATTGCCATCAAGTTGATTCCGACGCATTGCAACCCTACAGGTCAGAGTAGAACTGCCCCATAGGGTTTCCAGGGAGCAGCTGGTAGATTCAAACTGTCAACCTTTTGGTTAGCAGCTGCAGCTCTTAACCACTGTGCCACCAGGGCTCCAAATCTGAATATATGTGACCATATAAAACCCTTGCCCAATTTTTACAGGCTGTATGTGAACTGGAGATTTTTACGAGGCATTGAGGCTCAATTCCTGGCTCTGCAGAAGGGATTCAATGAAGTAATCCCACAGCATCTGCTGAAGACATTTGATGAGAAGGAGTTAGAGGTCAGTGCATTAATGTTAGGGCATCATCTAGTGGAACAAGGAAAGACTGTTATTTATTTTTCTTTATTGTCCTTTCTTGTTCTAAACAGATTTCACGTCTTATGTGCACATTTTTCTGATTTACTTAGTTAAATAAAGCCTCATTTACTGGTCTCCACCGTATTGGAATTTATTTGGATAAAGTCCTAGGCTCAGTTGATTTTATACTTAGCTTTTCAAGAAAGCATTTGGTAGACATGATCATAGAGGAAATAATTAAAACATTTAGGATAAACTGTATCTGAACATCCTTGGATTCTTCATATATTAACAGTGGTATACTAAAGGGTTAACCATTTTTTCCATTTAAAGTTGGTCCTGAATGGAACTCAGGTCTGGTTTTATAATTAAGGCCTTTAACAAATTTCCACTGAACTCATTTGAAAAAATAATGTAATTTTATTCTACCAAATGTTCCAAATTCACTTAGTGATAGCATAAATATTTGAAGTCTACAAATAATGTAAAACATGAGTTTGTCCATTAACTTCAGTCTGCTTTTTAACTAAATCTGTTAACAAACAAATCTAAAAAATTGGCTTGACTCAGTACTATCCCTCATTCCTTTTGTGATTGAATTATTCAGTAGTGAAATGGCTAGAAGGAAGTGGTCAGAAAGAGGAGGAAAACCTTAGCAGGAATGGCAATAAAGTTGAAATATAATGCATTGTCATTTGTTTATACAACGAATGAGGAATTTGGCCGTATAATTGCCACTCCTCTGAAGAAAAGAATTTAGAAGGTACCTTTTGTGTTATAAATATATCCATAATCCTATTTGGATAACTTCTTTTGTGTTTATTGTGACCTCAATTCAGTAATCTCTTTAGAACCCTGTAAATGCATTGTTGGAGATTTTATTCAGTAGGTTTAGGGTTTATTATATAGTTCTGACTGCTAGTGAAATCATTCAACTTTTTATAAAAATACATAAATCATATTTATTTTAATGTTATTCTGGATTAACAGAGTTAATTATAAAGTCTAGGATTTGCAAGTTACATTATGTTCTACATTATACACTGTTGTAATATTAACATGTTAGTAAGATTAGTCAGTCTTGGACCCTGAGGAGATGTGACTATTAATAGTATCAAAAAGTTTATCTAAAATCTACAAGATACTGCAAAACCTCAACAACAAAAAGACAAATAACCCAATTAAAAAAATGGGCAAGGGCTATGAACAGGCACTTCACCAAAGAAGACATTCAGGCAGCTAACAGATACATGAGGAAATGCTCACGATCATTAGCCATTAGAGAAATGCAAATCAGAACTACAATGAGATAACATCTCACCCCAGCAAGGCTAGCATTAATCCAAAAAGCACAAAATAATAAATGCTGGAGAGGTTGTGGAGAGACTGGAACACTTATACACTGCTGGTGGGAATGTAAAACGGTACTACCACTTTGGAAATCGATTTGGCACTTCCTTAAAAAGCTTGAAATAGGAGTACTGTATGATCCAGCTATCCCGCTCCTTGGAATGTATCCTAGAGAAATAAGAGCTTTCACACAAATAGATATATGCACACCCATGTTCATTGCAGCACTGTTCACAATAGCAAAAAGATGGAAACAACCTAGGTGCCCATAAGCAGACAAATGGATAAACGAATTATGGTATACTCACAGTGGAATACTACACAATGATAAAGAACAATGATGAATCCATGAAACATCTCACAACATGGATGAATCTGGAAGGCATTATGCTGAGTAAAATTAGTCACAAAAGGACAAATATTGTATGAGATCACTGTTACAAGAACTCAAGAATTAAGGTTTAAACACAGAAGAAAACATTCTTAGATGGTTACAAGGGTGGGGAGAGAGAGAAGGGAATTCACTAACTAGATAGTAGTCAAGAATTATCTTAGGTGAAGGGAAGGACAACACATACAGTACAGGGGAAGTCAGCACAAGGAGGCTAAAGCAAAAGCTAAGAAGTTTCCTGTACACAACCAAACACTTTGAGGGACAGAGTAGCAGGGGTGGGGGTCTGGGGACTGTGGTTTCAGGGGAAATCTAGGTCAGTTGGCATAACAAAGTTTATTAAGAAAATGTTCTGCATCCCACTTTGGTGAGTGGCATCTGGGGTCTTAAAAGCTAGCGAGCTGCCATCTCAGATGCATCAGTTGGTCCCAACCCATCTGGAGCAAAGGAGAATGAAGAACACCAAAGACACAAGGAAAGTATTAGCCCAAGAGACAGAAAGGGCCACATAAACCAGAGACTGCATCAGCCTGAGACCAGAAGAACTACATGGTGCCCGGTTACCACCAATGACCGTCCTGACGGGGAACACAACAGAGAGTCCCTGTGGGAGCAAGAGAAAAGTGGGGTGCAGAACTCAAATTTATGTAAAAAGATGAGACTTTTAATGGTCTGATTGAGACTAGAGGAACCCCAGAAGACATGGCCCCCAAAACCCAGAACTAAAACCATTCCTGAAGCCAACTCTTCAGACAAAGATTAGATTTGACTATAAAACATAAAATAGTACTCATGGAGAGTGTGCTTCTTAGTTCAAGTAGATACATGAGACTAAACGGGCAGTTCCTGTCCACAGGTGGGATGAGAAAGCAGAAAGGGACACAGGAACCCTGAGGTGGAAAGGAGAGTGTACTGTTACATTATAGGGATTACAGCTAGGGTCACATAACAATATGTGTATAAATTTTTGTATGAGAAATTAACTTGAGCTATAAACTTTCATCTAAAGCACAATTAAAAAAAAAAAAAAGTTGATCTATAATGACCCTGGATCAGGATGCCAAGCAGAGCTCTGTCAGTGCACGCATATATTTTATACTTTGACACAGTTTTAAGGTTATCTAGTAGCTTGGATTAACTCATTTATTCAACACAATTTCTTGAGTGCCCACGGTTTCACAGAATCTACTGAAAGAGATGTTACTGTGCCGTATTATAGTAGAGGAAGCTAGCCCAAGGGAGGTGAACTGAACTGCCCAAATCACAAAGCTGATAAGTGTTGAAACCAGTATAAGGAAGGCCCAGATAAACTGTTTTACTCTTTGAGTCTCAGTTTCTGTCCATTTTTAATTTTTTTTAACTTTAGGATTTTATTATGAAATTATGGCTTGTCGACTTGTCATGTCTACCACAACGGTGGTTCTCAAACACTGGGTAGAGTGTAGTTATCTGTGGAACTTCTTAAAATAAAGATTCTTAGTATCACCCTAGACTCACAGAATTAAATTCTCTGAGCATAGACTTGGTGTGTATATTTTGAAAAGTTTTCCAGATGATTCTGACAGGCATCTTTGATTAAGAACTGCCATATGAGAGCCAACACTGCAAATCTAAAGTTCTGTTTTAAGGAATTTTGGGCATAACTTTGTTTTCCACTTGCTCATTATTTGTGCAATATTTCAACAGCTCATTATTTGTGGACTTGGAAAGATAGATGTTAATGACTGGAAGATAAACACCCGGTTAAAACACTGCACACCAGACAGCAATGTCGTAAAGTGGTTCTGGAAAGCTGTGGAGTTTTTTGATGAAGAACGACGAGCACGGTTACTTCAGTTTGTGACAGGATCGTCTAGAGTGCCTCTGCAGGGCTTTAAAGCTTTACAAGGTAAAATACCGGGACAGATAGACAAGGTGGCATCAAATAGTTGATTGGGAGGATGGGTTGCCAATATTTTATTTATATGGATATCTTGCAAACCGTTTTACAAATGATTTGCTCTCCATTTTCTTATCTCTAACTCTTATATCTTGATACCTTCTTCTTCCTTACCTTTGTTCCCTCCCCAAAGCCTTTTCTGCTGAGGTTCTCTGTGATTGTAGTGAGTGCTGTATGTTGGAGTTGTATGTGGTAACGCTCTGCATTTTGTTCTGTGGTCACTTTGCTTTTAAATTCTGTTGCACATTCCCACAGGGGAAGTCCATCCACTTCCAAGTTCCATGTCAACCTAGCAAAACACTGACCCACCTGCGATGCCTCTCCTGTCCACTTTTCTTCTTTTAATAGAAAGAGCCAGCATGAGTCGTGGGAGCCATCTGTTTGGTCAGAAGCACTTTTAATTATTGCATGGCATCAGACCATTTGTTTACAACCATATTCCATTTTTAAGCATTTTTTTCCATGAAATAAGGTGTTTAATTTTTGGATGAGTCAGTAGTGTTGCTAATAATGGTGGTGCTTCACTGTGTGACCGTTGGTTTCTTTACCTCTTAAGCCGTTTATTTCCAAAGTTGCTGCTGCTGGTGATGATTAAGGATATACAAAGCAAAGACTGACAACATAACCGTGCTGCCCACAGTCATATGTCAAGTCCATGGGGAAAGCTTACTTTGAGTTGTGCTTACATTTCTTATTTGGAGAACTCATCAGACTGTGCGGAATGCCTAAAGTGAAATTGTATTTCTCATACATATATTTGTATGAGATGTCTGTGTTAACTGCAATTTATTTGCAAGACCACTTACCTTTTACTCTCAGCTCAGTTTGAGTCCTGAAACCTAACTTTGCAATAAGTTGTCATCTTTTCAATTCCGTAATGATTCCTGGAATAAAAAATGTGTATATATGTGTTCTTTCTTGGATTGGCCCAATTGCTTTTCTTCTCATACGTTGGGGCATTAGTTTTTATAGAAAATGGAAGTTGGCAAAAGGATTTCAATCCTGAATTTTTTCTCAAATTGAAATGCTAGCATATTAGAATCTGGCCTTATCTAAGGTCACTTCCAGCTTTCAAAACCCAGATTCTTTCCTGCTGCCGTGTGGTAGCTTGTGTGGATTCACCAGCATTCTCCTTTCCCAAGACCCTGGGGTTTGTGTATCAGTTTTATTCTAAGATTTTGGAGACTGAAACATGCACCCGCGGTGACTTGACCCACTTTGACTGCTTTTGCAGGTGCTGCAGGCCCGCGACTCTTCACAATACACCAGATTGATGCCTGCACCAACAACCTGCCAAAAGCTCACACTTGGTAGGTTATTTTTGTAGCCCTTTTTTCCCCATTCCATGTAGGTGTTAGTTTCATACAGATTTGACTTTTTATTTATTATCCTTGATACTAAATGTTCCTTTAAAAGGAATGGTAACCTGTAACCTGTTGCCATCAAGTCGATTCTGACTCATAGCGACCCTATAGAACAGGGTAGAACTGCCCCATAAGGTTTCCAAGGCTGTAATCTTCACGGAGGCGGCTGCCACATCTTTCTCCTGCAGAGTGGCTGGTGGGTTCAACTGCCAACCTTTTGGTTAGCAGCCGAGCATTTAGCCACTGTGCCGCCAGGGCTCTGTTAACAAAAAAAAAAAGGCATGATAAGTAACTCTTTTAAGTGATTTAAAAGTTAAAATTATTCATAGATTAGTAGAACTCTAAAGGTGGTAGTCTCCATTTTAGAGAAATTTCTTTTAATTTTAATGTGCAACACAGTAAGAGCGATGTGGCTGTGTTAGTATAAACTTCCTAGATAGTTTACTTATTTTGAATGAACTGTATAAAATCTGATTTGCTTATTCACAGCTTCAATAGAATTGACATTCCGCCCTATGAAAGCTATGAAAAGCTATATGAAAAGCTGCTAACAGCCATCGAAGAAACATGTGGATTTGCTGTGGAATGACAACATCAAGGATTAACCCAGGACTCTATTTATGCCCCTGACCGACAGCCTCTTTCAGCGAAGTTTCAAGGAATGCTGAAATACAGGAACCCCCCCCCCCTTTTTTTTAAGTTTGAGGACACTGTGAGGGGAAAGGACAATTTTGAAATTCCTTTTCAAGGAAAAAAAGGTCTTTATGCTTTGCCATGAGGCCACATTCAGCTGCTATTTAAAATTAATATCTTGAACCTAAAGAATGCTGACTTTTCCTACATTTCCAGAGTTAGGCAGTATTCGACACTTAAAGACTACTACTATTTTTATAAAAGGTAATCTATTCAAATCGCTTCATAGATTTCAAGTCTCTGAAACATCAAGACAACTTCAGCAGTCGGTACAAGTCACATTTCAGTTTGATTGAGTACATGATTTTGAACAGCTCCTGTACTTGCTCTTTGTAAAAAAATAAAATTATTTTGGATTATTCTAACTTTGTAAAAAATTGGTTAAAAGAATCATTATCTTTTAAAAAATTAAGCCACTTACATGTTTAATTACATTTTCCTATAGCAGAGCATTCTATTTTGCATTATGTGTTTCAGCCTAGCCTAAGTGGGTCTTTTTTGTATTTTTCAAGCATGAATTTCCTGGAATACAGCTATATAATTTTGGTTGTCAAATTCCTAATGCAACCATTTAGTCTAAACTTAGTAGTTTATTTGATACAATAAGATATGTTCAGGGGTTCCCTGTTTAAGAGTCTTAAAGAAAAAAAAACCTGATGTTTTTATCTGGAACAAATATGATCAGGTATTTTGGATTTACTTGTCATCTTAGATGGAAATACTGCGTTTTTTATCCTGAGATCTTGTGGATGGGATGGTATTTTCATTCTTTTGCTGGGTCAGCTTAGTTTTTATACTGTTTCTGTAAACCAAAGTCTCCTACGACAAGTGCACCTAATTTATATTTTAATTACAGTGTAAGTTTCTATCAAGTAAACCATCCTGAATCTTTGTTTAGCTGCTCATGACATTTTAAACAACTAAAATGATGAAAAAGGAAAAATTCGCTCAATGTTATTTAGCAAAAAAACCCTGCTTTTACCTACAAAATGAAGTAGAGGTGGTATTAGAGGTGGTGGGGGATGTGATTACTAAAGAAACAATGATTCTAACTCTATGGTATAAATTACTTTAAAACTGAAGAGTTAATTTTGTAAGTAAAGGAATCTCAGTTCCTTTGGTGTTGAAGATCAACAGTGGATTTTGAAATGTCCAGATTTAGCTTCCAGGGCATGTGGCCTGTTGCATGATCCAGAAGGCAACCAGAACTCCGGGGTGAGGGATTAGAAAAACCTGAAACCATGAGTGGATTTTAAAATTCAACCATCACAAATCTGCACTTTTTCTTTTTCCTACATTGATGTGATATAATCAGTAGTAGCAACTTTTGATGAGGTGGAATTGTTTAAATTTTGCATTTAAAAAATTAGCAAGTGAATAGGCCCTTTGTGTTGTATTTCTTGTGATGGAGTGGTTTTCTGTCTGTGTTACTTGGAACCAAAGGGTTCCTCAGAGGTGCCTCTGGGAGTGGTTAAGCTAAGAGAGAGGGAGGGGAAAGGCCTCACTGGTGTTTGAGCAGGGGCCTGTAAGCCCCTGCCGTTTACCTAGAGCAGCTCATTTTTTCTCTTTTATAGTTTGGGATTCCAAGTCCAGCTTTCACTAATGGGGGCAAGGGGTTTGGTAAAAGAGTTGGAGATTTTGCTGCTTAATAGAAAATTGGGAACTACTTATGTAGTTTCTATGTATTTAAATGTATTTTATTCGGCCAAATTTGCTACAAGTAAGCTAGTCTTAGTCATAACTGTAATCACTGTGTAATGTGCTTACACCGACCTTCTTCTTCCCAAACATTTTGTTTTTTACCTTCAGCATTCTTAGTAGTGCTGATGAAATACTGAAGTGGACATAAATGGTTTCTATGCTGCTTGATCATCCATAGTTTTCAGCTTTCACAAAGTACCTTATTGGTTGCCGGCTCCATCTTTTTTTAGATTAAAGCACTAGTGCAGTTTGTAATTGTGCCTACTCTCTCTCTTTTTTTTTAGCATTTTTTTATTCGTACTTTAGATGAAGGTTTACAGAACAAACTAGTTTCTCATTAAACAGTACACATACTGTTTTATGACATTGGTTAACAACCCCATGACATGTCAACACTCTCCCTTCTCGACTTTGGGTTCCCTATTACTAGCTTTCCTGTCCCCTTCTGCCTTCTAGTTCTTGTCCCTGAGCTGTTGTGCCCCTTTAGTCTTGTTTTGTTTTATGGGCCTGTCTGATCTTTGGCTGAATGGTGAACCTTGGGAGTGACTTCATTACTGAGCTAAAATGGTGTCTAGGGGCCATACTCTCAAGGTTTCTCCAGTCTCTGTCAGGCCAGTAAGTCTGGTCTCTTTTTGTGAGTTAGAATTTTGTTCTACATTTTTCTCCAGCTCTGTCCAGGACCCTCTGTTGTGATCGCTGTTAGAGCAGTTAGCGGTGGTAGCCGGGCACCATCTAGTTGTACTGGACTCGGTCTGGTGGAGGCCATGGTGGATGTGGTCCATTAGTCCTTTGGACTAATCTTTCCCTTGTATCTTTAGTTTTCTTCATTCTCCCTTGCCTCCAAAGGGGTGAGACCAGTGGAGTATCTTAGATGGTTGCTCTGTAATTGTGCCTACTGTTTATCCTTCGGCAAAAAGTAAGTACATGATAAACATTTTATAGAAGTCATGACTGACAGGGATGCAGTAATTATGAATTGCTACTATCAATTGTTATAATGTACAATACAGAGGAGGCAAATATTGCTTTTGAGTGCCTTTTTAACTTTATAATAATGATTTCTTAAATAGAGCTTTAAAAGAAATAAATTACCCTCGGTACCAGTCTATGGTATCACCAGCATAATTTATAAAACATGATGATTTCAATTTCAGAATTACATTACCCGATTACTTCCAGATAGGTGCTAAGCAAACAAAAAACCCCAATGTGTCACTGAACCGTGGACTTGCACCTCATGTTTAATGTGAATATTTATTTCCACATGTCCCTCTTTATTGGTTTTTTTCTTATCTATCCTCTAGTGGTGGTATTTCAGCTCTGTGGTGTCACGTTTCCATGCTATTGCCTTCCCACCATCAATGCTTGTGAACAGTGATTACTTTGTCGAGCTCATATGAGTACAGAGGTGAATTTTGTTTCAGAGGGTCTTATTTCTTGGTGTAAAGAGTTTTTAAATAGTGCTGTGTATAGTGTACATTTTGTTTTGCACATAGTTTGTTGCCCTGAATGGGTTTTATTTTTACCAAGTCTTTTTTTCTTTTTTCTTGTATTTACAGTCCAGAGCACAAGTTTCCCTTCTTTTAAAAACAATGTAATTTGTTTTCTTTTACAACACTAAATCTGATTTGAACTTCTGGTGCATTGAACTGATTGCATTGCTGGAAGTTCGACTGCTCCAGCCATCTTTACAGTTTGGTAGAGCAGCTCCTTCTACTTCCATTTTTAAGCTGCATCTTACAGTCAGCGGGTGCCGTTTCTGGTGTTTAATGTTCTTCTGTTAGGATGATGATTGTACCAAATGCTGAGTTGTTTCTAGATGTAATTAGTTCACTTAATGTTATATTCTTCCTTCTTTCAAACTGACTTTAAAAACAAAGTTTTATCATTTTCATTGTATTTGTATTTATTACAGAGTGTTTTAGCTTTGATATTCTTTGTATTTTCACTCACGTGTTACATGAGCTTTATCAATAACATCTGTATAAATGGTTTTTGAAAATTAACTATGTATTTGCCCATGCCGAAGTTGAGCAATAAAATGAATGCTGTTTGCACTGTCACAGCATCCAAGTTTTTAAAGTATACTGAGTTTGTAATGCAGTGTTTCAAAAAAAATTTTTGGTTGGCTCTGTGAAGGGTAACAGCATATAATCTGGAAGGTGAGAAGTTCAGGAAGAAGAATGTAGGCCCGCTCTAGTTGATGCGTATGTCACATTGCAGAGCTTCGGGGGGCTCAGGACCCCCTTTCTGTCCCTGTGTAGAGCAGAGAAGGCACTCATTTCCACCCACCATGGCAGCTTGATCGGTTGGCAGTGGTTGTTTGGAGGCTGCGTGGAGATGGTTTTCTGAGGCCAGTCCAGGCTAAGTAGGAAAGAGTGTTCAGTCCTACAACAACGTCTGTCAGGGCTCTGGAGAGTGGAGCTAAGATACAGGGGCCTCTTATTTGCCTTCCCTACCTTGGTGTTGAGCAGTAAAATCATGGTCTTTAAGGTTGGTGATTCACACCTGTACATATGGTAATGGATAACAGTCCAGCTAACTACATGGGTGGAAGGAATAAATACTGTAAAGTTTTTTCATCCAGAGTATAGGTACACGACAGAATGGAATCATGTCTGGGGAAACGCAGTGTAAGTAGTAGTGGTATACTAAAGTTCAAGGAGTGGGCTTGGTGTCCATTTTTATATCCTTTTGAAAGAATTTTTTCATTTGCTTTGTCTCACATGATCATGTTTACTGGTTATCTAAAATTTGTAAAGTTCCAGAACATCAAGGATTTTAGTATTAATAATAGGCTATAAATTACCCAAAAGTTCTGACCACTCTGGTTGGAAGTTTTTCTGCTGTGTGGTGACCTGAAAAGCTTGTTTTCTTCATTATAGTGAACATTAACCATGTATTGACTGCATTTATTTGTACTTTATACCCATATGCTTATATTAGGATATATACAACAGACCAAGAGCCAACCCAAACCTACTGCCATCGAGTCGCTTCTGACTTACAGCAACCCTATAGAACAGAGTAGAACTGCCCCATAGGGTTTCCTAGGCTGTAATCTTTATGGAAAAAGACTTGACACATCATTCTCCCACAGAGCAGCTGGTGGGTTCGGACCACCAACCTTTCCATTAGTTCTTTAGTAACAGGATAAAGGGGTAATTATGCCAGAAAAAAGGTTACATTCCTGTGTTAACACAGCAAACCGGACAAACCAGATTTCATTTATACATCATATGCTATTAAAGTTTATTAAAAGGTATTTGCCCTAAATGACTTTCTCTCTGTTCATTCAACAAGTATTTGCTGTGCTCCTACTATATGCCAGGCTATGTACAAGCTGATGGGGATATAGCTTTCGATGGTTGTTGGAAAACTGAACTTCCAAATTAATGCTTTTAACCTGTATGTATCTCAGTAGAGGCTGAAGTTCAGACTTAGGTACTCAGAACTTAGTGTACGACAAAGTAGTCAGTCGTGATGAGAGCACAAGATTAAGCACCCTACTTAAGCGAGGCCCCCAGGCCCAGACCTGCCTCAGCGTGCAGGAGGCAGCGGGGTCGGCAGTCTCTAGGACTGGTAGCTCCTTCCTTGTGTGTTTGTGCTCATTATACAGTTGCCGGCCTCATTACCATCTGTTACTTTGGGGAGAGGAGGCTGCATTTCCAAGGTGATATGCTCAGCTGTTGCCAATTAGCATGCCTTTTATGGCTATTTGGGCTGGGATTTATCTAGGGCATCAATTAGTCTCTAATGAGTTGTAAAAACCCCACTTCTGTCTCCCGTATAGTTTTATAAGTGAAGGAAGTGGGGAGGTGCCTGTAGCAGTCCACACCAGTCCTGCCCACTTAGGTATTTGTGATGTCTTACTTTCAGCTCAGGAATTGGGAGTGAAGGTGGGAAGGCCTATCAGAATCAGCTTTTCAGAGCACCCACTTCTTCCAAAGATTGCGATGCTGGCATGGCAAAAAGGTGGAGAACCAAGAAAACAATGAGATATAAATAATGCTAAGAATCTGAAGGGCAAAAAAGTTTTAAAGGCAGTTCAAGTTTGATGTTTTTCAGACAAGAAAAAAGTAAACCACATGTCTCAAATGAGCTGGATAATGGTTTGAATTTCTTGAAATACCAGAAAAAACACGTTTCAGCAAGTCTGGAGTTGGGAGCTAATGAATTAGAGGTTTTAGTCTGTAAGTGCTGTTTTTTCCTGTTTTTGTTGACCTACAGTAGAAGGCCACAGGAGGCAGCTGCTGATTATTAATTGCAGGCTTGTTAATTGCTTTAGCTCAGATATGACTAATGAAGAGTGTGTGCCTCTGTCCCTCCCTTTAAAGTTTTAGGTCACAAATTCAAAAGCAGTAACTTGAAGAAAGCAACTTTTATTAAAAAAAATTATTTCATAAAAAGTACTAGAATGAATACATAGATAAGGCATTTTAAAATGGTTCTTCTGCTTTAGACTGTTTACTGGCTCCATTGTAGCTCTGCTCTGGTAAGGGCCTCCAGAAACTTCACTGTGTGAAGTCTGGCCTCATGGGAAGGGGTTTTTACTGTACTGAAAGGAAGCCAGATGAAGCCGAGATTTGAAGCGCTCAGCTTCCAGTTCCCGGAAGAAAGCATCCTCATCGTTCTGTGTTATCATGTTCTGCAGCTGCTGAATTTCCTTCTCCATCTTAGATCTCAGCTCCCTCTTCACCTTATGTAACGTCTAAAAGAGAAGTCACATCCTGTGATTCGCAGCATTCATCCAGGCCCTCTTATGTTTTTATTCCCTCTCAACCTTCCTGCTCGTGGCGCTCCACCAATAATTTTAATAATTTTAGCAGCTCTTACAGAGACCTGAACAGGTAACGTTAAAATCATAGGATAAGTATCTTAGATCATGGATGGGTTTTTTAATTAGTATTCTCTCTACTCCCCTGAGAAGGGATAATAAAGTTTAATGTAAATAAATGATTTACTGTTAATTATTACCTGGGCCTGGGATTTCTCTCTAGTTTTGAGTTCTTGACGTTCTTGTGCTATGGCATCAGCCAGCAAAGAAAACTGTTTACAGGGAAGAAAAAAAACAAATCTTAATGTTTGTAGTGCAAGTGTAATAAATCTTATATTTAACAGCCATAGGCTTAAAATCTTTATTTAAGGAGGTAGGGTGAGATGGACTCTGTACAATGGTCAAGCACTAGCTTATTTTATCTTAAAATGCAATCTTTAAAGTGAAGTCAGTCCACCTATAGTGCAAAGTTCTGAGTGGACTTTTATTGTTCAACAGACAAAGCTGGCTTCTGACACAGGTGGTCAGCCTTAAGCATGTGAAAATATAAGGCAAGTGAGCTCACCTGGTCTTTATAATAGTTCTCCATTGAGTCCAGTTCATTCTGGTGCTGTCTCTTTTGTTCATCTCGCTTTTCTTTAGCATAGTTTCTCAGGTCCCGTAATCTTTGCTTCTGAATTTGTAAACCTTCTTCAAATAGTTTCTTAAATAACTGTTATTTAATCATAAAAACAAAACTGTGTCACTGAGGAATATAATCATTTTGACCAGCTAGAGATACATACTGCTTGTATTTCACAAAGACTTTTTAAGAACAGCTTTATTGAGATACGGTAGTTTTTAGTTTATTCAGAGTTGTGCAACCGTCACCCCAAAAAGAATCCCTGTACCCATTAGCAGTCACTCTCCATTCTCCCCTCCCCCTAGCCTCTGGCAACCACTAATCTATTTCTGTCTCAATAGATGGGCCTGTTCTGGCCACTTCATATAAATGGGATCATACAGTAATATGGTCTTTTGATTCTGGCTTCTTTGACTTAGCGTAACGTTTTCAAGGTTCATCCATTTTACAGCATATATCAGTACTTCATTTCTTTTTATGGCTGAATAATATTCCATTGTATGGGTATACATTTTATTTATCCATTCATCAGTTGATGGGACATTTTGGGTAGTTTCTCCTTTTTTTGCTATTATGAATAATGCTGCTATGAACATTTATGTACAGGTTTTTGTGTGGCTGTATATCTAGGAAGTGGAACTGCTGGGTCATAAGGTAACTCTGTTTAACCTTTTTAGAAACTGCCAGACTGTTTTCCAAAGCAGCTGCACTCTTATAATCCCACTAGCCCCCTGTATGAGGGTCTGAGCTTTCCACCTTAAACAAGTTATTTAACCTCTGAAAGCCTTAGGAGTGTCCTCCGCTGGAAATGAGCATAACAACAGTAGAACCTACTTCAGAGCATTCAGTTAACTATAATTACTACAGTGTTTTACCCTCGAGATAGCAAGTACCTTGTGGATACACCTCATAGGACATCTGTTCCCATCATTCCTGATTTTATGTGGAATCCAAAACCATCTAATCACACCTGAAGTTCCTGACTCCCATAACATGCTCCCAAAGCACTAAAGCAGTTGTCCTGGGAAACTGCTATGTGCAGGAGGTTACAGTGAATTCAGACTTCCCACTAAGATGAAGGCAGTGCAGACTGAGAATGCACTGTGGTAAGAAACGGAAGTGTGGACAAGTAAGAAGTCTCACTGTCAGCATTTTAGGACTAAATTTGGATTTTGGATGCAAATTATGACAAGAGTCGCAAACACAGGAGAGCCCTGAAAGTTTACAACAGTAAAATTTACCTTTTTAACAGAACTGGACAGAAAAACAGTATTTACCATTTCTTCCCGGGTCCTCATTCTCATCATTTTTGCACGCAACTGAACTCTATAGTCATCATAGTATTTGCGGGCACGAACAATCTGCTGCCGATTTTCTTTTATCTTTGATTGAGTCAACCTCTGTCTATTGATGCGATCCTTGAAGTCTTGCTAGGAAGAGGAAAAAGAGGTTAAGGACAAGAGGAAGACAGACTCCAGGGTTCTCATCTGCCCTGCTCCCCATCATGATGCCTTCGAAGTCAGGAGCTGAGTCTGGAGGGCCAGTGGCCTACAGCCTGGGCCTAGAGGGTGCAAGACTGTTGGCTCCCAGAAGTCCTCCAGCCTTTGGCAGGCCTGTCACCTTGATGGGCCTCAGTCCCAGGAGCAGCCCTGACAAGTCCTTACTGCTGAGAGAGCAGCGATGATCCTGAGCACTCCTGAGGGATTCCAGGGTCTCATCTCCCTGCTCCACCAAGGGCTTGCCTAAGTCACACCAGATGCCAGCTTAAAAGGAGGAAAACTGCACTCTTAGACTTTCAAGCAAAGCTTGAGTTTCCAAGAATATTTAATTAGGCCAAAACTAGACAGCATTAAAATTGTTTTCTTCCTCTTCCCCAGTGGGAAGGGGGCTTATAAACCTTTGAACTCTGTTTCTTCATTATGCAGTTGGACAATACCTGCACAGTAGTGAGGATGAAATGAGGTCATATACATAAAACTTCAACTAGGTGTTCTTTTTCTTCTCCCCCTACCAAGGTACCACGTGTGTTCTTGAGATGGCTTCCCCTTATTTCTCTGGAATTGTATGGAATTATACTTCTTGCGACTTCCCTCTACCCCACGCTCAACCAAAGGTTTTTAAATTTCTTCCTTTGCCATACTGTCTCTGTCTTCTCCCTTCAGTATACTCAACAGAGGATAATGTGCTAAGTACAGTTCCCAATCCAAATTGTAACTGTTAGCTGCCGTCGAGTCGGCCCTGAACGAATGAAATGCCGCCTGGTCCTGTGCCATCTTGAGGAGTGGACTGTTGTGATTCAGAGTGTTTTTACTGGCTGATTTTCAGAAGTAGATTGCCAGACCTTTCTTGCTAGTTCATATTAGTCTGGAAACTGTGCTGAAATCTGTTCAACATCATAGCAACACACAAGCCTCCACAGCCCTCTTGGTAGGTCACCCATGATGTGCACTGACTGGCTGGGACTCAAACCCAGGTCTGCTGCATGGAAGGCAAAAGTTCTATCACTGAACCACCAATGCCTCTGGAATTACAATGGAAGTTGGTAAACTACTCAGCTCTTTGCTTGAAACCTGAGAAAGATGGGGGAAGGCAAAAAGCACTAAGTTACAACCACCTGGCACCCTGAAAGGTCTGTGGAGGTTCAGAGGCAGATCTGAATTAAAAACTCAACCTGGCTCCTTACTTACAGTGGGACCCATGGCAAGTTGTTTAACACCTCCCAGCCTCACGTTCTTAATTTCACAGGAAACAGCTACTCCACTATATTACTATAAAGACTAAATGAAACTGTATGTAATTTTTTGAAAGTCCTAGATGCTTCCTCAGGCAAGTGTTACAGGAAAGACTGTGAGACTACTGTCCAGCTAGTACAATAAGAAAGATAATTAACTTATAAATTCAAAATTACAACACCAACTTGCTCTTGACATACCAGTCTCCTGTTATGTTCATATTCTTTCTTGACAAGGGCAGTAAGGAGGTCGTGCCTTCTTAAGGCTTCTTCTATCTGTAAGGGGGACACACGGGGAAGGAGGTTAATGATGTTGTTCGCTAGACTCTCAAGGATAAGCTCCTCCTTTCTGCTTTATATTCCTACTTATCTTAAAATTGAGAGTAACTTACTTCATCCTGGAGTTTCTTCTTTGATCGATTTTCTCCATATGCATCTTTTTTGAGCTGTTTAACCTGTGCAATTTGCTGTTTCCACATTTTGCTTAGTGTTTGGTCAGAAACAGAGAGAAATGGAAACTGCTCCAGCATCAGGGGCAGGAGGCTCTGTTCGTTTACTTTCACTGTAAAGTAAAATGAGATCCTCAATCTGAGAAACTTGCCAACAGCTTTTTACAAGAGCTCTTATCCCACCTTCCTGGTAGATCAAAGCTTATCTAAGTGATGTGGTTCCGATTCTGAAATGAATAATTCTAAATGTATATATTATTTCTGCATTCCTTCTTTGATCAGAGTAAGCCAGTTACTACTAGTAAGGATGAAAATAAGCTCAATAGTTCCGTCTGATGACATGCTGATGTGGCAAAGGCCATCCGAACTGCTTGGCTGCCCCGGTGCCTGTGGATGGCGATGCTGTGGCAAAACGGGGCTCCTCAGCCCTCTTGGTACGCTATGCCTAGAATAAAAAGTGTCTGTCTAATAGGACGTAGTTGGGAAGCCAGCAGCCTCGCATTTCACGTGGCCTGGTTCTCCTTGTAATGAACTCTCACTGGCACCAACTGTCAATCTAACAGGAGCTGCACGAGCCATCTGCTTGCCTTGGAGCATCCTATTCATTCTACCAACTTCCCAGAAACAAAGGCAACCAGAGTGAGTGAACACAGAGTGAGGCCACCACCAGAGCAGCAGGTGGTGGTCCTGGCATTTCCTCTGGTGCCAATAGATAGGGCTCCCTGAGGTACTGCCTCATGGAAGAGTTTTCCGTCTTTATAGAAGTCCAGCCATATGGCAGTGATAAAAGTGGGAGCTTTCTCTAGCTAACATGCATGTTGGTTTTCAGTGCTGTGTCCCTGGAATGTAGCACATACTTTCAAATGTTGCCAGTTTTCCATAAAGGACAATTTTGTGGTTCTTACTTGGAACTTCTTTATTTGGCTTTGGGAAGCCACCTCTTGGACTTGGAGTTGTGGTTTTTCTAGAGTAAATCTTCCAAGGCTGACAAGGTTTTGGCGTTCCTTTATGAACAGCTTCTCTGTATGTTTTTTCCTTAGAAGCAGATAAAGAACAGAATAGAAATGAGAGAGAGGTCTAATAACTCTTTCATACATCAACTTCAAACTTCAAATTTCTAAATTCTGGTTAACATTCAAGGAAGTTAAAAAGCATCCTTTGGTCCCAGATAGAAAGGGAAAAAAATGCACAACAAAACTCAATTTCCTAAAAAAAGTCAGACTTACTGGACTGAGAGAGACTAGAGGAACCCTGGGACTATCAACCTAAAACATCTCTGAGCTTGGAACTAAAACCTGGTGGTCACCTGTCATCCAAACAATAGACTGGCTTGTAAAAGAAACAACAGCACCCTTGACTACTGTGCTCCCTTAAATAATCAACTGTATGAGACCAAGTGGTCAACATTTACCCTAAAACAAACATGAGAAGCTAAGGAGGGGCAGGGAAGCTAGATCAATGGAAACAGAACAGAAAGAACGGAAATAGTGAGAATGTTGATGCTTCACACTGTGAAAAAGGTAACCAATGTCATGGAACAAGCTGTATAAAAATGGTTAAATGGGAACCTAATTTGCTACATAAACTTTCACCTAAAACACAATAAAATATTTTTTAAAAAATAAATGGCACATATTTAAAAAAAAAAAAAAAAAGCACACTTTGGTCTCCGCCATCCCTTGGAATTTGAAAAAGCGCTTAATCTTTTTCAAGTTTCATAGTCACCACAGTCCCAGACCCTAAATACAACCACTAGTAATGTTCTGATGTACTTGCTGCTTTGTCAGCTTTTCTCTGGTAGGTTAACAAATTCTTAAAACAGTGCTTAGTTGTAACCATACTGTATTTTATACCCTATTTTGTTCATTAACGTTTTAGAATAAGCATATTTCCCATGGTTTCACTTAATTTCTGTAACCATCCTTTTGAAAAGCAATGAAAACTTACGCTTCAGGTTTCTTACAACCAGGTATAGAGCAACTGGGATTTTCTAGTGTCTTCTCTTACTCTCCTATAACTTTGTCACTCTAGACTATTTTTAAACCCTTGGTGAACTAAGCAACAGAAATCCTTAAAACTGATAGACGGTTTAGGGAAGGGAAAACGCTAGTTCTTCTTACCACATTTGAGCAGCTTGGCTACTCCAAGAATAAGTTAAAAGAGAAAATCCTACATCGTGAAATCCTGCCTTTTCTTAAGGAGCTAATGATTAAGGCCCTGTTGGTTTGTTTTTCCTTTTAAAAAGATCATCTCTACTTTCCACTGATCTGATCAAATGGCATTTACTACAGCGGAGACTTTTACCCACTGTTTCTTCCTGTTCGTCATTTATCCCTAGAGGTCCAATATTCTCTTGAACTTTATTTCTTCTTAGTTCCCTTTCAAATGCTTCACTTATTGCCTAGAGGAGAAAAGGTCATAAATGATATTATTAAAAACATTTACAAATGAAAAACAGAAAAAAATCACCTAGGAGCCTGCAACCCCCGAGATATCAAGCTCATTCACTTTTTTCCTTTCAGGCTCTCTGACATAAATATACATTATTTTAACAAAGCTGTAATTGGGACATAAAATGAAATTTTAAGTGCATTAATTTTTGTTCTACCAGTTTTTATCATTACTTTGACTCCTAAGTTGAAGTTACATGCTGAGTTCCATACTGAGTGGAAGGTGCACACTACTGGAAGACACCTGAATTAGTTTCAGTCTTTCACCATTATAAAGCACACTATAGCAAATTAAGTGTTCTAAATTCATGGTACATTTCTGAATTCCTATCCCACAGCAGGAAGTCTTCCTTGGTAATCATACCAGTCTCCTTGTTGAATCCTAACCACCTCTTCTCATGTCTGTTTGGGTACTTTTTCATCCTATTTGTAAGTCAAGTGGCCTGTCATATTTAATCCACATCAAATTCCCTTCATCTCTAAAGCTTTCTCTAAAAATACCACACTGATCTCGTTTTTATTAATCCACTGGACCAAGTTATTATAGTTTCATGAGTGCAAGTTTTACGTCACCTGATAGAAGGGCAAAAGCTAGGTCACAGAATTCTCTGTCATCCACTCGGCACAATACTAGATGCATCTTAAGCCTTGACTCAATAGCACGTTCACTGTAGCACCTGCCTGGGGGCACCTGGTATCGCCTGCTGCCCAACAGAGTTGGGGATGTACCTGTGCTCGGAATCGCCGGATATCTGTTTCTTTTGGTTTTCGCTGCTTTGTTCGCTCCCTATGGCATGGTTTGCGTCTGTTCACTGGAGAAGGAGAGAGCGAGTGGGATCTGTAGGGTGGCTTTCTAGACACGGCAAGTCCTGCAACACAGAGAGACGTAAACCATTGGTCCCCGACAGCCAGAACTGTTCAGTTAGAAACCAAATAGTTGGTTTTTAACGACTCCAAGAGACTGATGAGTGGATGTGCTAAATGTATTTTCTCCTATAACTAACTTGCATATTTAGTCACACCAATTAAACAGGCCAATGCACACAAAAATGTGTACTATCTCAAAGAAGTAGTCAGGTTCTATTCGATTTCAGGTTGAAAATGGAGCAACACATGGAATGCCTGCTGTTCACAAAGGCCTAGTAAGTGCTCTTGGTGATGGAGGAGAATGGCAGAGAAAAGGTAAAAACCATCTGGGCAGTGCATGTGCTATCCTTTTATCTATCTAGGTCCTGAGGAAGTGGGATATAAATACAGATACAGATTTTACAAATATGTATAAAGCAGCATACTTACAAGCTAAAGTTAATCTAGTTTAGCATTGTCCAGGCAGTCCCGATTTTTCCCTACTTAGCAATTTAGCTCTCTTAATTCCACACTGCCTAAGAGATCTGACAATTTGCTTCTCTCCACAAACCTTTCTGTGCTCCATGGTTACAGAGGTACTTGGGCATCTCCTAGTTGTGAAGAAGAAAACTCCCTCTTTTGGGAGTGAAGGCCAGAGAATTCAAATTTTCTTTGACAGCTTTTATTTTTCCTTTCTCATTCTCTTATTTAAGTCTTTTGCATTCATTTTCAATTTTAAGTTATTAAGAAAACTGACCTGCATAATCTTTTAAATAATACATGCTTTGATGACATTTTAACTAAATCCATAAGAAATTCTTAGAAACTGAAGACCCAATTAAAACAGAATTTTAACTTAAAAGGTGTTTTTAAAACACGATATGATGTGTATGTGTGTAGTCCGGTTACTGGGTGAGGTCGCTGGAGATCAGCCAAGTCAAGCTTTAAAGGGAAGAGAGAGGTGAAACAGTTGAGAGGAGGGAAGGCAGTATCCTTGAGGGAGTAAAGAAACAACTGAAAAAGTTAAGAAAATTCTAGATTAAGAAACAGACTTATTTCTAGAGAAACAAGGGATGACCAAAGTGGAGAAAATATGCAGAATTTCAGTGGGTGGAAGACAAGATAACTGTTTGAGTTTGGACAGCAGAAGATCAAAGGGCAGCAAGTATCTGCAAGGATGGGGCAAACCAGAAACTGTCACGCACTGCTGATCCGAGTACAAACTGGCACGATCACTTTGGTGAGCAATGTGGCAACCCTGGAAAGTGTCAACCCCAGGATTCAGCACTTCTACTAGATGTAGATGCCAGAGAAACTCCTGCACATATTACAGGCTGTTCATCGCAGAACTGTTTATGTAAAATGGAAATAATCTAAATGTCCATCAACAAAGGAATGGACAGACAGTGGTATATATACATACTCATGGGATGGAGTACATTGTACAGACTTAGTTACACAGCAGTTAAAATGAATGTACTGAATCTGTAAGTATCAACATAGATTTAAAAAATAATGGTAACAGAAAAAAGCAAGTTGCAGAATAAAATGTAGAGTATCTACATAAATTTTTACAACAATAGCATTATTTAGGCAAGTAATATATGAGCTGTTAAAGTATAAAACAGAGATAAGAGAAAAAGATACCAAATTTGAGATAGTAGTCTCAGTGAGGGGGTAAAAAGAACAGACTGTGGGGAGGACTAGGATTTCAACTCTTATTTCTTAAACAGAAAATGTCTAAAGTAAATGTAATTGTTAACATCTGCTACTTCTAGATGGTGGAGATACAGGTGTTTGAAATTATTTTTTGATCTTTTTATATATTTCTGAAATATTTAAAGTGAGAAAAAAAGAAATTCATTAAACACGAGTGGAACTGCCCAGGTGGTTCACTTGGATGTCCACATTCTAAACCTCTATGGGATAAATACCTGGGATAGGTCTCTCTGGGATAAGTACCCGGGATAAGTGTCTCTGGGATAAGTACCTGGCCTTAGCTTCTTTGGCCCATAGTCCATGATGCTATCACTGTACTGAGACAGTGTCTCAGCACTTCCACTTTCCACCTCTCCATTCTCCACCTCTTCATTTCCAGCACCAGCATCCTCTTCTTCATGTTCAGTCTTTTCTTTAATTCGATCACCCAGGGCACTTTTTAACATCTGTTAAGAAAATTATTTCCAACATCTTTCACTGACTTCAGAATGCAAGTTGGTAGGAGTAGCCAGATATAACCTTTAAAAAACTTCCTTTAAAAATTAGGTGCTAATAACATGTTTTCAGATACTACGTTTTTAAACAGTGTATATCAACGCTACTGACTATTCAGTCTCAATCAACTTTACAGTCAGTCACACAGGGATTCAATACATTTATTCAATGATACCCCAAAACTATAATATTGTACTTTGTGAGAATCAGTGATCCATCCACCTGATTTTATACCTGATCTGTTTTTAGTAACAAAGGGAAATGACATAGATATATCTAAAGATAAACTGTTTAATGTTAACATCTACATTAAATGATTAAGTTAGTTTTCACCAGAATTCAGTAGTTTGGGTAAATCTGTACAAGATTTGGTTATATCACAAAAGGCTGGGAGATCGTTGTTCATGCTGTGTCCTACCTCCTTGAATTATGGAATATTTTCACAGTAACTAAGACACAACTCATTCTCCAGTACCCTAAGTTTAGCTTCCACCTTCAGTCGGGGGATCATTTAAATGTTCACCATCCCATGGGAATCTCAATGTAGATAAAAAACGAGACTTACCCAATCTAGTTCAGAGAGCCGCTGAGAGAGTTTCTCGGATACTGCGTGCAATTCTTGTTCCGTTAACGTCCTTCTTAGCCTCTGGGGAAAAGGTGAACCCCAGGATGAAACTGCAGATCTGTTTTCATGTCTGTAAAGAAAGTGACGATGTGATATTTAAGTACCCAAGTTTGCACAGTTGAAAATAACTGCAATACATGCTTTAAAAAATATTTCATACTGGTTTTCACAGCTAAAATCGGAGAGTACACCTTTTACTCTTCAAATCCCTTTGCAAGCAGACTGTAAACACTGAAGTCTGCAGTAACGTTACCTGCTTCCTTTGGGAAGCCTCCTTGTCCTGGGGCCTTGGACCTGAGCTGAACATATTTCCTGTTTGCTATTTTTAGGCAACTTGGAAGTTGAGAAAACGCTATCATCTGGTTCCTATTAAAAACATGAAAAAAGTTGATTTGAAAAAGCTACAAAGAAAATACATACAAGTAAGAACTTCCAGGTTTGCGTGTGTGTGTATCTATGGCACAAAGCTAGGTCCCTTCATTCTCTGTTTTGTTTTTAAGTGTATTTTTCAAAATACCCCACTGACACCCAATGCCAAAGGAATGGAGCAATGTCTACAAACTTGTGCTGAGAGAAAATGTGTGGCTCAGGAAGAGTACAACAAGTCAAGATACCATTCTTGAAATACAGAGGCAGATGTTCTCAAACAAAAAAGTCAGAGGTTACAGCTACACCTGGACAATGAAAGAAATGATTAAATCACAGGTGCAAAGTATTCATGTCATTATCTTTCCTATCAAAGAATCAATGTACACTGTCTACAATTAAAACAGTTAAAGAAATCTCCTAAGATGAGTATAAACTCTCAACATTTTTAATAACTTATTTTCTTAATCTTAGACTATGGAATCTTTTGGAAAATGTTCCTTGTGGTGAAGAAATATTTATTTGATGTCTAAAGATCCCTTCTGTTTCACGTCAGTATCTTTTTCTTCTATTAAGTAAAAATAAATTTAGTACTTTTCAGTAAATAGCAACTATAATATGATCTCATTAAAAAAACTTTTTATTGAAGGTTAAGTATAAAACTCAATGAATTATTTCAAAATGAACACTCCCATTTAACTACCAAATGGTCAAGAAATAGAACACTACCAGCAATTCAGAAGCCCACCCACCATCCCCCTACCACCTGGTCAAAGGTAACCATTATCCTATGATCCGATTTCCCTCTCTCTTATCCGCCTACCCTCCTATCTGACACATACACAGAATGTTTAGAATGATGGTCACCTAGTGCTAATGATGCTTATTTCATCTTTGTACTTCTCCTGCATTGTTTTATACATAAACAGCTGTTCTTTCTAGAAAGATGGAGGACAGGATGAGTGTATAAAAAGAGGGAACTTTTTTCCAAAGGAGAAGAGTAGAGGCAAATAGGCCAGAGAGTACCAGTGGTTAATTCTAGATAAGTGGGAAGATGGATGGATGGTTCTTATTTTCTTTTCCACACTTTCTTAGAATTTAAAAAATTTTAATTCTTCAATTAAGGACATACAACATGGGTTCTGAAGCCAGAGCCTTGAGTTCAAATCCTGGCTCTATAATAGCTGTGTGACCTCAGGCAAGTATTTAACCTGTCTACATCAGCTTCCCCACAGGAAAGGAAAAGAGTATCCACCCAGAGTTGTTGGGAGGAGTAAATTATTCAATAGGTGTAAAGTACCCACGACTGTGCCTGGTACAAAATAAATAACATGTGTTGGTTCTCATTAGTTCCCTTTTCATACATTCATCTTGTCCCTATCTTCCTAGAACAAGAACAAGCAGGTGTACGCAGAGTTGATGTGAAGAAGTACAATGCTTTAATTAATGGAATACTCTTGACTGCTCTTCTGGCAGAGACCTCTTTATCTAGACTTCTATCCAATTAAAAGCAAGCTTCTCCATTTACCGCAGAAAATGTCGCAGGCTCTCCAGTAGAAATCCCGGCAGACAAGCAGTACTCCTTTCCTATGGGGCAGGGCGCTCGAGGCTCTGACGGGTGGTGGGGTGGATGTAAACGGATGGCTGACCGAATAGGCTCCCCTAGCTTCCTGGCACTTGAAGTCATACTCACTGAAGGAATTTCCACTAACAGAACAAATTAAAGTGGACATTACGATGAAACTTCTAAGAAATAAATCATATATACATACACATACCTATACAAACATGTTCGCACACACCACTTAGAAGTATGTTTTAAACTTGATTTAAAAAAAAGAGTACTCAAAAAACAGTTAACCTGGGAAGTCATCCTTAGTAAATAAGTAGGGATATAGTTAAATCAGGAAGAATTTAATTCTAATTTTACTATCATAAAAACATTCCCTGAAAAGTAATCGAAAGAATGCAAAACTGGAAGCAACTTAACTGGCCTGAAGAATGGCTATGTAAATCATGGCTCAGCCATCGGGAGGAAAAGCAGTTAGCTATTGATAATGATTTTATGTAATACTATCACATGAGAATGCCAGAAGAAGGAACATTTTCCATAAATAAATAAGGAACATTTTTCCAAGTTACTGTATTACTCACTAATAATTTGAAGACCACCAACTGATATACTAACGTATCAGAGACTCTTATTGTCCTAAAGCAGAAATCAGGGGTAGTAATTAATAGCAAACATTTACAAATAAGGCCATGTAAAACCAAGAGAGTCACATGAAAGTACAGAGCAGCAAAAGTAAAAAAGCTACTAGGAACAGGAATTGTCCCAGGAACTACTGTACCCAACTCACAGCAACAGTCTCAAGAACTAATAACCCAGTACTACTCACTGTCTTCAACAAAGGCTGTCCTGCTGCTGGACAAAATACTAGACTGGGGGTTCAACACTTCTTCATGGGATTTAGAACTTGGTGAGGTTGTGGCTTTTTTAGATTGTACTTCATTAGAATCTTGGGCACCTACAAAAGAAAATACTAAAGATAATTTTTTTTTTAATTATCAAAATAATTTGCTGAATGTTCAACTGGAAGCCTAGAGTTTTGAACTCAGGGGATAAAAATTTCAGGAATGACACAGAGCTATGCTGGTCAGATTGCTTGCAATACTATTACTTTTAATAACTACAAGCAAGGTGCAGTTCTCTAGCCCAGAATCATTTACACAACTTAAAAGCAACGTTTTACACTATCTTTCACCACTTTGCTTTAGGAACAATAGGTGCCAGAGATTCCTGAACTACGAGTCTTGGCTGGTACTACAGTCAAAGATTTATAGTCCAGAAATTGAGGCCTGAATGAGATGCCTGTGCATACGTATGATGGAGAGATCTGATGTCTCAAATCCAAACATAAAAGGAGGCTATCATAAGCCCTTTATAAGCATAGTCTGGCTTCTCATCCTTTTCTCCTTTGCCTTAATCACATTGTTTTTAAACACAGTTCCTTATCTCTTGTCAGAGAATCTACTTAAATGGTCGCACCTTTCCACATGGCACCTGATATCATAGAACACCATTCCTAAAATCACTTTCCCTTCCTTCCCCCGTCGATCCACTGGACTATTCCTTCAAGAAACATTCTTGTATTACTTGACTCTGAGTACTCCGTTACTTTGCCTATCCCGATGGCAAACTATGTCTTTGGTATACTGTCTGACTTAAGTTTTTGGACATAATTCCCTGGAAGGCGGCATCTATTCCCTGGAATCAGAGCATTAGTACGGAAAGAGATTTCAGAGATGGTTTAGTCCAATTCTCTAATTTTGCACTTGGAGAAACTGGGGCTCAGAAAAGATAAGGGCCTGTCCAAAGTCCCACAGCCAGTAGCAGGGTCTGGATGGGAATGCAGGCAACTTGATTCCCAATTTAATGCATTGAATTCTACTCTGGCACTCTCATTCTTTCACTTAAAAAATACAGACTTCTTGTGGGCCTGGTGTTTTCCTAAGTTTGGGGATACTAAGATGAATAATTTTACTACATATTTCACTTATCTCCTTTATTTATTGGTGGCCTCCACAATGAGACATAGGCTCCACAAGGACAGGGATTTGTGATTTTTTTGGTCACCACTGTGTCACCACTGCGTGGCACAGTGAAGGCATCCAATAAACATCTGCTGAATGAGTATGACGTGCTTTCTGTCCCTGGAACTCAGTTTACACAATAGACAAACTATAAGGTACCATCCAGTGCATGAATGGTATTAGAAATAACGAGAGAAAGCCATACTGTAGGAACCCAGAGCCTCAGAGCCTGGGACAGGTGGAGAAGGCTGGGCATGGAGGGTGAGTTTTCTGGGAACAGAAAGGGAGGAAGACGATTCCAGCAGAGGGAGCAATATGATGCCAGAGAAGAGCATGGCAAGCATGGTGGGCAGGTCAGGGAGTCAGGTAGCTGGAGGAAGGGCAAAGTGGGAGGTTCAAAACCAGGGCCCAAAAGATATTCAGGTCTACTGTATATAAGCAGTAGGCTGTAGGAAATGTGGCCTGAAGCCCAGAGGGAAAATTGCCGCTGGGTGTACAGACTTAGCAATTGAAACCGTAATGAGTCACCCTAATTCAGGAAACCGCACTTAGGGGGTATTCCAAAAGCATGACTAGACTGTAAAGCTGTATCCAGAATTCTCTTCCTTGGGTATTAACCAAAACCCAACCAGTTGCCATTGAGTTGATTCTGACTCATGGCCGCCCCATGTGTGTCAGAACAGAACTGTGCTCCATAGGATTTTCAATGGCTGGTTTTTCAGAAGCAGATCACCAGGACTTTCTTCCAAGGTGTTGCTGGGTGAACTCAAACCTCCAACCTTCTGGTTAGCAGCTGAGCTCATTAACGGTTTACACCACCCAGGGACTCCTCCTAGGGTATCAGGTCCCACAAATTACATGACAAACTTGCATCTACTTATTTACTTGGACTTAACTGCCATGTGCCTGTCACTCCCACTTGACTCTATTTTAGATAACTGTTCATAGTGGGTAAAGATGGTATTCTGGAATTTCAATTCTGATGCCCAGTTACGGCTCCATCCTTCTCACCTTTAAACATTCCAAAGTATGATTATTACATTTCACAGCCCTATATTGAGTAATAATAATTGCTATTTACAGTTTCAACTACTCACCATTACTTCTTAGAGAAAAGGTATGCGCTGTATCCCCAAGTCTAATTAATTCACCAGTGGACTCTGCTTCATCTTCATCCCAAGAGGGGCCCAGCGCCTCTGATGACAGGGAGCACCTGGAAGAGTTGACTCACTCAGGGCCCAGCCTGATCACGAAGGACCTTGCCAGAGCTGCTCCCCGAAGCCCGTCTGCAGGGGGGTTCAGATTACTCATTGTTATGCAGAAAAAGGGAAAGACTCTCTGCGTGCTGAGAATCACTTCTTACTGCCTATCTGTTTTTACTGATATATGAATGGTGGACACACCTGTGTATAAAACATCAAGGATTAAATGTATACGAGGACACACCCAGAAAAAGGGGACCACTGGTTACTCTAGGGGCGTGGGAGTAGAGGAGAGTGTCGGGGGTAGAACGTTAATTCTGCACTAAATACCCTTGTATGTTTCACTTTTGCAATTATTCCTTTATTTTAAATCCAATAATGAAAAATAAAGTCAAGAATTGCATCTTACGACAGTTTCTTCGGAGACACTTTCTCAACAAAGTACTATGCCTACAAAAGAAGGCACTGCCTGTATTTTTCAAACCATGACAAACTCCATAAAAATACTGAGAATCAGGTATTTAAAATGGTCATAGCATCATGTTCGGTCCGTAGTTAGCAAAGAAATGCAAATCAAACCAGTAATGACATAACACTTTTGTCTACGGAAGCAGCACAGATTCTGATACTGGATAGAAAGGGCCCGAGGGTGCAGTCACCTGGCACTTTTGTACTGTTGGTGGGTATAGAAATAGTCATGGCCTTTTTGGAAAGCAATCTGGCAGCTTTTATTAGTAGCTTTAAAACATTTATACTCCCTGATTCTGAATCTTGTCTAAAGATATGAAAAAATAAATAAATGTACTTATCACATTTTTTAATTAAAGAACAAAAAACAAACAAACAAAAAAAACCCAAGGAACAACAAACCTCTACTGAGAGGACTGGTTTGTAAACTATGCTGCACCCATGTGAATGCTGTGTTATACAGAGACTGTAAATGATCCTGCCCCTATATGAACAGTGTGTTATACAGAGAACGTAAACTATGCTGCACTCAAGTGAACAGTGTGTTCTACAGACAATGTAAACTATGCTGCACCCATGTGAATGGGTATCATACAGAGAACGTAAACTATGTTGCACCCAAGTGAATAGTGTGTTCTACAGAGACTGTAAACTATACTGCACCTATATGAATGGTGTGTTATACAGAGATTAAAAATGATTTTCAAAAGTTCAACAACTGGTGAAAAGACCTGATGTGCTAAATTTTAAAATACAGGAAATAAAATTATATAGATAATACGACTAAATCCAAAAAAGAAAAAGACATAGTAAAAAAAGACAGAAATACAACAAAATGTTAATAGCAGTTACTTTGTTTTGAATGGCAGATATCAATTTTTTTTTTTCTGATTCTTTTTTACTTCTCTGTACTCCCTACGTTTCCTGCAAGGACTATGAACTACTTTGATGATCAAGGGAAAAATGTAAAAATAAGTGGTGGTTAATGCTGAAAACTAAGTATTATATACAGCTCAAGATTCTTAAAATTCTCTCAGGTTTAAATATGAGGTTTAAAATATGAGAAGTTAGAGAAATTTTCACTTTAGCTTTTTTTTTTTGCAGCCATTCTGGCATACTGGGTGCAATTTTAAATCTTAATAGAAAGAAAAGGATCACTTGTTTTGATTAAATTCACAGACATCCCGTGCTACCTCCCAAAGGAAACTCTTTTCCATGATTCCTTAGTACTTTCTGGCTCTTCCAAAGGCACTCCTTGATGTGATTCTTTAAAATGCTGTTCAGTTTCACCTGTTTAGAATAAATAAAAAACAACAGCAACAAAAAAAACCCACTCAAGTCAGTATCACAACTTCTATATAGGAGGTGGGGATGTGAATCAGTGAGGCACCCCACCCGTCCTGGTGAACTGGGCTCTTGGGAAAGTGAAATAAGAAAGAACCGAATGATCGTCTGTAATGAGAATGAGTTTCCCGGGTGACTAAAAAACAACACAAGTGTTGCTTCAAAAGCAGGGTCTACAGTTGTATTAGCAATGCTTTATTTCTTAACTGTTAGGTTCATTTATTATTCTTTATACCTTTTTGTCTATCTGTAAGAGATGTCTGAGGCAGTCAACTGAGATGACTAGGATGTGGCTTCAGAAAAACATAATTGTGTTGACCCATCTCAAGCTCCAAAGCAGTTATGCCTTAGCCTAAGAAAAAAGGTTGATGACCACAGACCACATCAAAGCTTAGATGAAATTTTCCTTAAGTCTAGTGGTTATCAATCTTTTTTCTACCCCCAAATACCCAAGGGAGACATACTTTTACCAGCAGCAGAGGTACTAGGGCTATGATTTCAGGAGGTAGGTGGGTGAACCTGCTTTGATTCACTCACCCCTCTGGACATTCCCACCCTCATTTCTAGAGATTTATTGTTCAAACATCCATCCTCATTTTGTTCTATTTCTGAATTCAGAAACGCAACATTTGAATAACACTAGTTAACGTCTACTGTGAGCTAGGCTCAGTGCTAAACTATTTACGCACAGACTTATTTAACCTTCACAACCACCAGGAAAGGGTTTCAGATGAGGAATGGGATTTATTGACCTACAGATTATAAGTAATGCTTAGACATTGCTGATTCAGTTTAAGTAACCATAACCCTTTTGGAAAATAATACAGCAATGCTGATCTTCATAATTATCATTAAAAAACATAAGACCAAAATTTCATGCAAAAAATTGTTACAATTTGGGAAAAAGAGTAAAATAAAGACTATTTAGGCTGTCACAAACCTAACTATAGGTTGAGGACAGAAATACACAAATTCTTCGTGCTGACACCTTGACAACATTCAAATTTGTAACATAAATGGCAGTTCTGACATAGGAAATTTTAGCATAAGGCACAGCAAGCAATAATAGGATGATATATAATTGTAGGCAGAAGCTTAGCTTTCTATTTCTTTAAAGTAACTTATAAGCAACAGCCAAGTTAACAAAGGATACGACAGTCTAGGACAGAGAACTTTCAACCACTTGGGACAGTAAGAATTGGAAATTTACAATTAAATTATCTGCACTTTATCAAGTGTACTGTATTAATGATTCTACTTCCTGTGGGGGGAAAACGGTAAAAAGGGACATGACACAGTGTAAACCAAACCAAATTTTGATTCTTAAACTTACTTTTCTCGTGAGATGTTTCACTGCTGTGTTCTGTAAGGTACTCCAGCAACCCATCAAATATCTCTAGGAGATTCTTAATAGACTCTTTATCTCCTCTCACTATATTTTCTCCTGAAGACAGAATACAGAGCTATTAAAAATTTTAACCAAGAAATCTGGAAGCCTCATAATCTTGAAATGGGTAAAACACTGTGAAAACGCTGTTCAAGAATACAAGAATGATAAAAACTAACCCAGGAAAAACAGTATTATAAATATTTAAAAACATCAATTTCCTGCTGACTGATTATATCTGAAGAAACAAAGAGAGTAACCTTGAATACGGTGTTTGAAAATAATGCATTGGCACATTCCTTCCATTTTCAAGGAGCACAATATAAACTTTCACCCAAACCACAACAAAATGTTCAAAAAAAGAAGCACAATAACTGGACTAAAGAAAACATCCCATAGGAAGATTTATGCCAAAATAAAAAGCAGCTAAGCAGAATTTTACCAGGCTTGCTGCAAAAAATAGCAGATTGTAGGATACGACTCATAGATGGTGATTTGTTCAGCAGAAGATAGCCGCAGAGTAATATTTTTTAAAATATTTGTTGGGATACCTTGATATTTTTTCCTCCATATTTGTTAACTCCTATTCCGTCTCTATAGCTCTACCATTTTTTTATGACTAAAGCCTATTCATGGCTCCCTTCCTAAAATCTGAACCTGCATACAAACCCTTTCTAATTTCACCCGAGCCCTCCAACCTCTCCAGCCTCATCTCCCACCACATCCACTTTATACTCAAAAATTAATCTGTCACACGGGGTCGCTATGAGTTGGACGCGATTTGACCGCACACAGGAAAAAAAACAGCACAGAACTGTTGTTTTGTTAGTTGTCATTGAGTTAATTCTGATTCATGGTGACCACATGTATGCAAAGTAGAACTGTGCTCCGTAGGGTTTTCAAGGTTGTGATGTTTTGGAAGCAGACTGGCAGGCCTGTTTTCTGAGGCACCTCAGCATGGGTTTGAACTGCCAACTTTTCGGCTAGTACTCGAACACTTTACCATTTGTGCCACCAGGGGCTCCTGGCTCACAATAGACTGTTAAAAAAAGATGTTAAAGTTAAAATGTTGAATAGAAAAGGATCAGTAAGAGCATGGAAACCTGACATGTTTAACGTCAGCTAAAATGGATTCCACAGCCTGGACCCCAATCACTGTCAGTGTGGAAAGGAACTCTTGTCACAATCTGGGTGTCCCTTGGGAGATCATGCCCGGCATCCTCATGAGTTCAGACCAGTATGGGAGAGGCAGGAGAGAAAATCTGATGTTTGAGAGAATCAAGCCATTCATAATTTCAGCCATGATACAAAACAAACCTAAAACAGAGATTTGATGTTTTGCAATACTACTAATAAATAAACAGTGTTTGACAGTTGCTTTTTGTTTTTTCTGTTTAAAACAACTACCAGAAATCTTGTTTTCAAGCCCTGTATTTTTCTGGCTTAACAAGAGACACACGTCTACCCCAAGGGCATACTCAAGACTCAGTTTCCAGGATGGGGAACACCCTCTGCCAACCCAGCAACTGAGACTGCTGGCCAGAATGCAGTGCTTTATGGTGAAGACACTGCTTGAAACAGAACACAGCAAGCAGGAAGAGGGTACGCTGCAGTCTACCGTAAGAGGTAAGTTTTACAACTTTTCATGGTGTGAGTGTGATTTGTCGGGGGTAGCTCTGCATTCGAAAGTTCTATAAACATATACCACAAATACCAGAAACTGCTCTAGTCAAATGATAAAGTGATTCTAATCTGCAAAGGAACAGGGAAACTCTGGGATTATTCCTCAAAATGATTATCTCCAAATTGATTTACCACATTTTCTCACCTACAACTGTACTCAAAAATTTAAGAGAGTACTTTCTCTTTCCAAAAATTTGCTCTTGTCAATAGCAAACTGTTATTAAGTGCCATCGGGTAGATTCTGACTCACAGTGACCCTGTGTGACAGAAAAGAACTACTATAATCTTTCCAGAAGCAGATCGCCAGGTCTTTCTCCAGCAGAGTTGCTGGGTGCGTTCAAACCCACTTAACCGTTTCCACCACCGGGGCTCCTTCAATAGCCAATTAAGAGATGTAAATGACCTGTTGTAATTAACTTATCTCCAATTTCATCCTTCCCTTAACTACTGGCAGAGAATAAATCAACAGTATAAACCTTCTTTTAGTGATTGAAAGTAGAGTTTTGAATCCCTGAGATTCCCTTTGTTCATCAGCTCGAAATAATTCACTGAAATAATCCTCTTTTTCTCACTATCTATGAATATAGATATTTATTAATGTATTCAGTACATTTGGTTTTAGAATACAGCATGGTAGGCACACTTTGTTTTATTCTGGAAAATGGTTCAAAAACAGTTTATAGATTTAGTTTTTTTTAATACAGAATGCATTCACATGGTTCAAAATTTAAAAAGGTATACAATGCAAAGTCTCCCCCACAGGCCTGAAGCTCCCCTTCTTGGATGCGATCAGGGTTAGAGGTTTCTTGTACATGCTGCTAGAGAGTCCTTCTATGTGCAGTCCCCTGCATATGTATTCTCTCCCACCTTGGATTTTATAAACAGTAGCATACACTGCATGTTACCATTGTAACTGCACCACATGTTCCTCACACAACAATATACACTGGAGATTGCCCCACTGACGTGCAACACCGTAAGGAGCATCCTCAATCACTTTTTTCAGCTGCACAGTAGTTCGCTGTAGGAGCCGTCATAATTTATTTAACCAGTTCTTACTTACAGACACTTGGGTGTTTCCAATCCTTCGCTACTATAAGCAGCATGGTATGCTTAAAATAACAAAAGTAAAAAACATACCTCAAACTACCATCTAGGACACCTACATTACAGATCCAGCTCCATCAAAAGCTCAATGTTTGACTTTCCTGGATACTCTCACATGGATGATCACCTTAACTACACCAGTTGACTATCTTGGTTCAGTCTTGCTGTTCGGTCTACCCTGTAAACTTACTCATTTAGTTAAGTAAACAATGTTGAGGGTTCTAACACATTATTTTAGTAAAATCCATAATTATCTGATGGTTAAGTATACACTAACCTGTTATGTGAGACAAGCTGACCTGCAGGTAATCCAAGGCCAGTGAATCAATTACTGCTTGTACATTGTGTGCGTCGTCCTCCTGACTCCTGGGAATAACTATGAGGTCTGTAGGAAAAAAGTTACATAATTTTTACACCTGTAAGGGTCCAAGTTTCTAATCTATGCTTCTGAACAGGCTTCTGAGTAACCTCAATTGTTACAAAAGTAGGCTCTGCCCAAGCAGAACAGCCTACAAAGTCCAGAGAAAGTTCACAGAGCCTGAATTCCACACAGTAAAACGTTTGTTTATTCAACCACCATACATATGAACATGCTTTACAACAAGCACTATGCTAATGGAAGACAGAAGCCAAACCAAACTCGCTGTCAAGTGATCCCAACTCATAGCAACCCCATGTGCTTCAGAATAGGACTGTACTGCATAGGGTTTTCAATGACTGTAATCTTACAGGTATATCACCAGCCCTTTCTTCTGTGGTGCCACTGGCTGGATTCGAACCACCAACCTTTAGGTTAGTTGTTGAGTGCAAACTGTGCCACCCAGAGACTTTACAAAAGATTAAAAAAACAAAAAACCATTGCTGATGAGTCAATTCCAACTCATAGCAACCCTATGGGACATAGTAGAACTGGCCCCTAGGGTTTCCAAGGAGCGGCTGGTGGATTCCAACCACTGACCTTTCGGTTAGCAGTTGAATGCTTAACTACTGCGCCACTAGGGCTCCTCAGAAGATTAAGCAAAAAAAAACAAACCTGTTGCTGTCAAGTCGATTCTGACTCATAGCAACCCTATAGGACGGAGAACTGCCCCATAGTTTCCAGGGAGCGGCTGGTGGATTCCAACCACTGACCTTTCAGTTAGCAGCTGAATGCTTAACTACTCCACCACCAGAGCTCCTCAGAAGATAAAGCAAAAAAAAAAACAAAAAACAAACCCATTGCCGTCAAGTCGATTCCGACTCACAGCGACCCTACAGGATGGAGTAGAAGTGCCCCATAATTTCTAAGGAGCTCCTGGTGGATTCAGACTGCTGACCTTTTGGCTAGCAGCTGTAGGTCTTAACCACTAAGCCACCAGGGTTTCCTCAGAAGATAAAAGCATCCCAAAATCCAAGGAGATGCTAATACTCTGAGATAAAGGAGGCAAGACATGAGGTGAGACTTTAACCTCTAAATGTGGCTGCCTTCCCAGGGCAGCATGAGAGAAAAATAAGCAGCAGCAGGTATGAATGGAGGCGTCTTATATGTCCTTTAAAGAAGCCTATTGGGATTTATGGTAGAAAGGTTAAAAAGGTCAGTACAGACCAGTGTGGAAAGATTTCAATATCGAGTTAAGTTTGCAGTTTCATTTCTGGTATTGAGAAAGATGAATGTTTTGGGACAGGATGAAAAAAATATTTTAAAAGACTGGTCTAGTAACTATATGCCAAAAAGAATTAGAGACAGTTGAGACTAATACCAAAGATACCAGTTAGAGGCTATCCCATTAATCCAGGAAGTGAATGAGGACACGGACTCACGTAACAGTGGGAAAAGAAGAGAGACTACACAGTTTGTAGAGCACTTAGTGGTTATTCACAATTTACAGTGACAGAGACAGTAGAGGACTCTGTGGATAGGGGCTTTGAGAGAGTTAACCTGGGATACAGCAATATGATGTGGTATCCCTAGAAAAAATGAGCAAATCACAACTTTCAAGATGATTAAGACGTGTGAATTTATTCAAACTGTCTTCTTGGCAAATTAGGTTCATAAAATACATACGTCAACTCACATCTCTAATATTAAATTATGTAACAGGACCCAACAAGTTCCACTCACATTTAAAACCGCTGAAGGTACATTTTCAGAAAGGGTGTGGCTTTCACAAGGCATTGGGCATAATTACATACATTAAACAATGATTATCAAGAAAAGTCAAACTGATTTGATCAAGGCTGTTATTATGTGTGGATCCCTTGAGATAATCATTAAGGTAACGAATGCAATATTTAATTAGAAATAAGACGCAGACAAAGAGAAAATACAAGATTTCATAATTACCAAAAGATTTAACTAAAGGCACTAGAAACTTCTCGCCCAAACAATTACTGCTGTTTTTAGCATCCTTACCTGGTACCCTTTCTCCCAAAATTGATTGATAAAGAGCAATAAAAACGTTAGCATCACAGTCTTCAAGTGCATGTATCCGCAGGTGTATGTGACATTTCAAAAGAAGGTTATTGGCAATGGTTATCCACTCTGTTGGGAAAAGAAGGGAAAAGATCAACCTCAAATAGCATTAGCAAAAGTTATATACGTACTTTTAAAAACCAACAACCCCCCACCAAAACACTAAACTCTGTAGAAGATAAACAATTGGATAGTTATACGATTTCAAAGACCCTCCTAGGCATTTTTAAAAATATATTTAATTTTGAGGAATGACTTCCAGAAACCTATAATTTCAATGTAGTCAACACTTTGATGTAAATCCAATTTTTACTGTTGCAACCTGAAATCTTTGGTTATTTACCCATAGTTTTTTAAATTTTTTATTCTATAAACCTTACATAGGTGTTCTTTAGTTAAAACATATTTACAAGTATGTGGGAATACTATGTAACAGAAACTAACTAATGGATGATGCTTCACATTCCCAGTAGTATCGGATAGGTTTTTACTCAATTCTCTTGTGCAAGTCAGGATTTCTCTGGTGCGATTAACCTAAGCTGTGAAACACAACTATATTTTGTTAGTTTTTTTTATTATTATATTTGTTATATATGAAAAAATATGGTAACTACATAAAAACATCCCTGTATCCACCACCTAAGCTCAGAACTAGCACATTAGTAATTCTGTTGAAGTTCTTCATGTACCACACCGCCCTCCCAACTCCCCTTCCCCAAGATACTGCTGAGATTAGCAAAGTAGTTCAAAGGTTTCTTGATCAAAAGTAACTTAGAAAGCTGGAAATACTTGTTTCCTAAAATGATAAGCCATCAAGTGGAAAGCAGTATTATTCAGAATTAGATACATCTTCAATATGTTCTTGAAACAAATGAATATTATGGGGTGGTGGAGGGATAGAAACTTCTCTACTACTACAGCTTTCCTTCAAAGCACACCACTCCCTCTCCTCATTTCCCATGGTTAACAAAACCGTGACAACTGGTTTGCACGCTGTCCTGGAGAAAAGGCTGAAAGCGTCCTAGACAACCAAATCAACTGCCTTCCAAAAGCCGGTGCTAGACAAAGCCGGTAACTCTAGAGGGCACTGGAGAGAAAAAACTCAGGGTTTCGAACTGGTTGGTCCTCCTGTTGAGAATTCTGCAGTTCCAACCCAGATATATACTGAACCAGAATCTACACTTTAACAAGATCCCCAGGTAATTCTTACGTATGTTAAAAAGTAGATTCTGATCCAGTATACCTGCGGTGGAAATGCAAATTCTTAGTAGAGGGTCGAATAGGAACGAACCGGTTCGAGGCCCTGAAAAAACCACCACTATTCTACCCTGGCAGGCATCTTGGCAGATCTTAAGAGTGATATTCCTCAAAAGTTCATAGGCAGATATGTAATCTGAACAAGTGTGGGGTGACTATGGGAGTATACCTACGAGCAAAAAGGAAAAAAAAAAAAGTGTGCTACTCCTCAAAAGCTGAATACAAATGTAGGTACGGCCTCAGTTCCCACAATGCAAGGGTGGAAAGCACATCGACAGTGGCCAGATACTCCAGAGAAGTCCGGGGACGATCCTTTCTGACTACTCTTTTTGCGATCTGGACGCGGGTGTGTTGGCGGCCTTGTCAAAGGACCATTCTCTCCCCTACCCCAAATCGCTGCTCCACGGCCACGAAGCGGAGAGCGGTGCTGGGACGCTACCTATGCAGCCCGCGGACTGCGACAGGGTATCTGACAGAAGTCTCGCGGGCAGCCTAGACCTAGGTTCAGCTCGGCCAGAGGCCTCAAAATAAAATGGGATGCGCGTTTGGGGAGTCAGATGGCTTCACTCCACACACACCACGGCGCCAGACCGAGACTCACCCGCCTCTGAGCCGGCCATGTCGCGGAAGCAAGTCGCCGTCAAGCTCCCAGCCGGCCGCGCGGAGGACGGTGTCCTGGAAGGGCCGCACAGCACAGATACAGCAACGGGAGGAGGGGAGACGAAAAGAAAGTGTGGACAAGGAGTAAAAGAGGGAGGGACGTTAAAACGGCTTCTCGCTGCTGATTGGTCATTAGAGGATCCCCTTTCACAGCACGCGCCTCTCCGGCGGTTTGCGGGATCTAGATAACCTTCTCCGCGGGCAAGATCCCCCTAAGAGGTGCTTAGGTCGGTGGGTTTGACAGGTCGGGTCATCCACCCGCCTTGACCCGTCACCGGAGGAATTAGAACGACACTTCCGGTGAGATCTTTCGTTGTATATTCATCCGCCGACTGGGAAGTAGTGCGGCCGACTCACTCTGTGGGCGGGGGAGGCAGTCACGTGACAATGTCGGGGTTGGGGGGGCCGCTTCCCCGTGTCACTTGGTTATGGGTATGAGGGCCCTTTGGAGACGTAAACATCTCCAAGTGGGGACAGTGGGCTGGCCTGTACTGGTGGCTTGATTTTCTGGGCTGGACCTGGAAAACGATGGGGTGGACTGCTTAAGGTGTGTAAAGAGAAAAAAAGGCGAACTTAAGGAAGTACAGGATGGGGCATCGCAGTGGTGGACAGGTCCAGATATGAAAGGGGAAAAAACGGATGGTCCCAAGGGAGGGACTGGGGGGTGGGGCGGGGGCGGGGGAGGGGTGAGAACATGGCGGATTCCGGAACGCAGGCGGGCGTTGCGGCCTCTGCGCAACGGGCGGGGTGATTAGGTCATAGAGCGGTTCCCAGCATTCTTTGCGGTGGAGGAGGCGGTCCAGACTATAAAACCGGCTGCCGGGAGGCGGCCGGCACCTCATTCATTTCCACCGGCCTTTGGTGATTTAGTTCCCGGTCTTATTATCGCCGTCGCTTCGTTGCTGCCGCCCACGCAAGGCTTCGCCGTCGCTGAAGCCACTCTTAAGCGGCTCTCCGCACCCGATTATCTTCGCTTCGTTCCCCACCAACCGCAGCCATTGACGCCATGTCAGGTTATTCGAGTGACCGAGACCGCGGCCGGGATCGAGGGTGAGTATGGAAACCAACCTGTCAGGCCCGGCGGGTGGGGGATGGGAGGGCAGTGGGTGGCAGGGGCGCCGCTAGGGGTACATTGGCTTTCTTGGCCTACGCGTGGGTCTTCTCAGTCAAAGGTTTGCGCCATTTTGATGTTTCTCTAAAACTGAGTAGATAAGGTTTGTCTGTTAACGGCCTTCAAGTTTGATTTCTCCCCGACCCCACCCTCCCCCCCGGGGCGGAGGCGTCGGGCCCTTGGCGATTTTGCAGCTATTGGGAGAATTCAGCGGCGTGTATTGTGAGGGGGAGGAAGACGTGAGGTTTCGAGGCGGACACCGTAGCCTCGGTTAGATGCAGCTTTTCGGGAGGTGTTCTAGGGATCCAGGGAATTCTGTGGAAGCGAGGGGCCAGCTTCCGAAGACATTAAGGCGGTGAAGGTAGGAGGGTGGCCGGCGCCGCCAGATTTGGCCATGTGGCTAAGCCGCGGCTACAAAATGCCGGCCTCGGACATGGCGGCCGCGCCTTTGTTACCCCGCCCGGCGGAGGAGCTCAAAATGGCAGCGTCGAGAAAATGTGGCGCAGAGAGAAATGCGAGACAAAGGAGGAAGCGCCGCCCCAGCGGGAACACCGCCCGCCCGACTCCGCCCGGGCCGGGACTCCTCCCCCGGTAGTCGCCGGCTCCTCCTCCTCCTTTTCTTTGCGTTGTATAATTTTGCTACCTTGATCGGGAGCTTTTCCGAGTGATCCCCCTCTGCCCTCAACTCGATTCTCTTGCATAAGTGTCCCTGAAACACCATCCCCGTTGTTCTGCTTTTACTGACTATGCTGTCCTGTTATCCATTCTTAAAGCGCCTTTTCTCAAAAATATTTATAAATAACATCGTTGTTGGGCTCGTCCCTTCTTGTATCATTCATCTCCCAGATACTTAATTCCAAAGCTCGTGGAAAGACTATAGCCAGAAGCTATTGTCTGTCGTTGTAATCTGAACTTGTGGCATTTGGGCAGCCAGTTTCCGACATAATAAATCCTGGGCTGCTTACCTGCTCTTAATTGTGTGCACTAACTGCAGATCTAGGTTTTGTATCTCAGAAGTCTGATTTGAATGATACTTAGTAGGTGCCAAGGGATGGTAAATAACTATTAGCCCATGTGTAGAGATTTGGGAACGTGAATTATTTTTTAATTTCAGATTTGGGGCACCTCGGTTTGGAGGAAGCAGGGCAGGGCCCCTGTCTGGAAAGAAGTTTGGAAATCCTGGGGAGAAACTAGTTAAAAAGAAGTGGAATCTTGATGAGCTGCCCAAATTTGAGAAGAATTTTTACCAAGAACACCCTGATTTGGCTAGGCGCACAGCGGTGAGTAATTTCATGTGGCTTCATCAGGTTGTAACCCAATAACAGCTTTTCCTAAAAAGAAAAGCTGACTGTAAGTGTTTTGTAAATGACTAGATTTGGGGAGATTCATACTTTCCGATTTCATAATTGAGAAAGGGGTTTGATTCACTTTGGAAACAGGTGGCTTTGATTTTTTTCTTGGAATAGTTATTTTAGAATAAAGTAATAGGTGGTTTTTCTGTGTTCTATAGGATTTTCATATATGGATCTAAATTTTAAAATCAGTCACTTTAGAGTAGTAGTTTATTAGTTGCATATTCATGGGAGGTTGTTAGACTTACGAGATTATTGTAATTGTTCTGCAGCAAGATGTGGAGACATACAGGAGAAGCAAGGAAATCACAGTTAGAGGTCACAACTGCCCGAAGCCAGTTTTGAATTTTTATGAAGCAAACTTTCCTGGTAAGTGCTAGTTTTGAATTCCACATTTTTCTTCTTTCTTCATTTTGGTATTACTAAGTTTTACTAACTTGTTGTCACTATTTACAGCAAATGTCATGGATGTGATTGCAAGACAGAACTTTACTGAACCTACTGCTATTCAAGCTCAGGGATGGCCAGTTGCTTTAAGTGGATTGGATATGGTTGGAGTAGCACAGACTGGATCTGGGAAAACGTTGTCTGTGAGTTTTGAGAGCACTTTTGTGTACTCTGAAGCATATGCTAGAGAAAATGGATTTCGAATTAAAGGAATCCAGGAATATTGTAATAAAACTTTTGTTTCTCCCCCTACCCCCCAACAGTACTTGCTGCCTGCCATTGTCCACATCAATCATCAGCCATTCTTAGAGAGAGGTGATGGGCCTATTGTAAGTGTATATTTTACTAACTTTTGTAATAAGTGTGATGTGGAGATTTGTAGAATATAGAACAAAATGTAGAATAATTTGTGGTGGTTTTATGTGGAGAGATTAGCTGGAAACCAAGCTGCTTTGGCTTTTGGACAGCACAGTGGAGGAAATGATCTCCCAGCGTAACACTAATTTCCAATTTAAGACGAGGATCCAGGTCTGCTAAAAGCTGTTCTTTTTTCCTTAGTGCTTGGTGCTGGCGCCAACTCGGGAACTGGCCCAACAGGTGCAGCAGGTAGCTGCTGAATATTGTAGAGCCTGTCGTTTGAAGTCTACTTGCATCTATGGTGGAGCTCCCAAAGGACCGCAAATACGTGATTTGGAGAGAGGTATGTAGTAGAAGAGCTTTTATTTTGTCGCTAATGATGCTAAAATTTTTAGATGCTATAGTTACTTTTATGTATTTAATTGCAGGTGTGGAAATCTGTATCGCAACACCTGGAAGACTAATAGATTTTTTAGAGTGTGGGAAAACCAACCTGAGAAGAACAACCTACCTTGTCCTTGATGAAGCAGATAGAATGCTTGATATGGGCTTTGAACCCCAAATAAGGAAAATTGTGGATCAGATAAGAGTAATTGCCTTTGAACATTGTATTTTTAAATTCGGTTCTTGAATTCATTCTTAGAGTACAATACTAATTTTTCCACCCAAAAAATTTTTTTAGCCTGATAGGCAAACTCTGATGTGGAGTGCAACTTGGCCAAAAGAAGTAAGACAGCTTGCTGAAGACTTCCTGAAAGATTACATTCATATAAACATTGGTGCACTAGAACTGAGTGCAAACCACAACATTCTTCAGATTGTGGATGTGTGTCATGATGTGGAGAAGGATGAAAAGTAAGTTTTCTATAAGTTTTGTTAACTCTAAAAATAATTTTACTATATAGACCAAGTTACTGTTTCATAGGTAATCTTAAAAGTGATTTTCAGTTGGGTAGAATTTGAGTATGTTCATCTAAAACTTCTCTGTTATTCCTTCTGAAAATCTGTTGTGTTTTTCAGATAATTGGTTCATCAGTGTTATAACATTCTTTTAGGAAAAGGAACACACATCTGTTCTGTGGTTTACTTAAGGACCAAGGATAGAATTGCTTTATAAGTGGTTAAGCAAGTGTTTCTTTGACATGTAGGCATGAAAATTGAACTTAATGTTTTCACTGACCACAAATTTAATTTGGACCATGAACTTCTTTAATTTTTTTTTTTTTCTTGCCAGACTTATTCGCCTAATGGAAGAGATCATGAGTGAGAAGGAGAATAAAACCATTGTTTTTGTTGAAACCAAAAGAAGGTGTGATGAACTTACCAGAAAAATGAGGAGAGATGGGTATGTGGGCTTTCTCCAGTGAAGCAGATTTGTTTAGTTTAGAAAAGCATAAACTTAGATCAGTAGTACTGAATTTGAGTTTTATGGATGAGAAGTATCTTTTAGTCTAGGGGAAACTGTGTATCCATTATTTCGGCTAAGTTTAAAGGAGTCTGTGACCAAAAATGGTTAAAGCACAAGGCCAGAATCTGCTCTCAGGTTTCCAGTGTGAGTCTACTGATACAGCTTATTTTTAATTTAGGTGGCCTGCCATGGGTATCCATGGTGACAAGAGTCAACAGGAGCGAGACTGGGTTCTAAATGGTAAGTATTTCAAATGATGATTTTTCTTTTTTCTTGATCTAGTATTCTGTTCAGGTTAATGGTTATATATATGCGTTTCTTTGCAGAATTCAAACATGGAAAAGCTCCTATTCTGATTGCTACAGATGTGGCCTCCAGAGGGCTAGGTTAGTACAAACTAGCATTCGTGGCTTGGTTTCCCAGAAGATCTCCATACGATTTTTTTTAAAGAAAGTTTATTGCTTTCTTTAACCTCTGCATTTTTTCTAAGTTTTTTTTTTTCACATAAAGGTGCAGTCTTTGTGGCAAGGCCTAGGCATGACAATCGGAGGACTCGAGGGGGATGGAGGACTAGTGATCGGCTGGCTGCTTCCAGTCGATTAGAGAGGTGAAAAGCTGAAAGTGTGCCAGTAATCTTCAAAAGGCAGAACATACCACCTCTGCCCCGTAAACTGTTCTCTCCGGGGGGGGAAAATGGAAGTACCCTCACAGTTCACTGCCGTGGTACTTCTGTCCCATGCTTTGCATGACTGCCATGGTACAGCATTGTTTCAAACTGTTTCCTGTGATCTGTGGGTCTTTGAGTTTCAGTGAGTTTGCTGAAATGTCGAAGAAATATTTCCAAACTTCAATGTTCAATGAAATTTTTGTTCAAGTTTGAAATGGAGAGAGCAGCTTTAAAAGGTACTAAGCCTTTTACAAATTGGTGAGTACTGGCACATAAGCTCTAGAGCAGGAGCAACTTCTCACACTTAGTCAGTGGGAAAAGAAAGAAGTGCTTTGAAAGTTCCTCCCTCACCTACACAGTAGTCGTCATGTCGAGACCTGCCAGAGAGAGACACATTCTCAAGTGAATCCTGGCTTCTTGGAAGCGCTTGCCTAGACGAGACACAGTGCATAAAAACAACTTTTGGGGGACAGGTATGTTTTTCTTGCAGCTGCGGTTGTAAGGTCTTGGCAAGACGAGCAGTGTGGCCAGAATTTTGAACTTCTGATGAGTGTGTAACGCAAAGGACCACGTACATTTTTGTTTAAAGGTCCTCAAAAAGAACACATGAAGAGGTTGCTGTGAACTTTAGGTGGCCCTACTGCGCAGAAGCAATCAGATGTCACTTGATGATCTGTAAGGGGACTTCCTGATTTGGAAATGTATTAGGGAATACACATTTCTTTTGGTAGGCTTTATCACTGGGTGGGTGATGAGACTTAAAAAGATGACATGTGCTTTTCTTAATCTTTCTTCCCCCTCCCCCCACCTCAATGGTATTCCTACAGGGAATGGATAACCATTCTAACTGTATTTTTTGCAGCCCATACCTTCTTGGGAATACAATTGTCTAACTTTTTATTTTTGGTCTGGCTGTTGTGGTGTGCAAAACTCTGTACATTGCTATTTTGCCACACTGCAACACCTTACAGATGTGGAAGATGTGAAATTTGTCATCAATTATGACTACCCTAACTCCTCAGAGGATTATATTCATCGAATTGGAAGAACTGCTCGCAGTACCAAAACAGGCACAGCATACACTTTCTTTACACCTAATAACATAAAGCAAGTGAGCGACCTTATTTCTGTGCTTCGTGAAGCTAATCAAGCAATTAATCCCAAGTTGCTTCAGTTGGTCGAAGACAGAGGTTCAGGTAAGACTAACCTTGGATAAGAAATGATGATTTAGGGGTCACATGGTTATCTGTGAAACAATTTAAACGAGATGAGAGGGTGAGTAAAATCTTAAATGTGAATCTTAAGTAATCTTAAGCTGAGAAATTGTAAAGCAGTTCCTACCTGTAGTGATTAGAGTGAGCTAATTTCCTGTCTTAACGTTAATTTGTGTAATAAAAATAATCAACTGGTAATTTTTTTTTGACAGGTCGTTCCAGGGGTAGAGGAGGCATGAAGGATGACCGCCGGGACAGATACTCTGCAGGCAAAAGGGGTGGATTCAATACCTTTAGAGATAGGGAAAATTACGATAGAGGTTACTCTAGTCTGCTTAAGAGAGATTTTGGGGCAAAAACTCAGAATGGTGTTTACAGTGCTGCTGCAAATTATACCAATGGGAGCTTTGGAAGTAATTTTGTGTCTGCTGGTATACAGACCAGTTTTAGGACTGGTAATCCAACAGGGACTTACCAGAACGGTTATGATAGCACTCAGCAATATGGAACTAATGTTCCAAATATACACAATGGTATGAACCAACAGGCAGCATATGCATATCCTGCTACTGCAGCTGCACCTATGATTGGTTATCCAATGCCAACAGGATATTCTCAATAAGACTTTAGAGGTATATGTAAATGTCTGTTTTTCATAATTGCTCTTTATATTGTGTGTTATCAGACAAGATAGTTATTTAAGAAACATGGGAAATGCAGAAATGACTGCAGTGCAGCAGTAATTATGGTGCACTTTTTCGGTATTTAAGTTGGATATTTCTCTACATTCCTGAAACAATTTTTAGGTTTTTTTTGTACTAGAAAATGCAGGCAGTGTTTTCACAGAAGTAAATGTACAGTGATTTGAAATACAATAAATGAAGGCAATGCATGGCCTTCCAATAAAAAATATTTGAAGACTGAATTAAGTGGAAATTGTACTTTATTTTACGTACAGTGTCATGTTAAACTTGGCTTAATGGTTTTTTTTTTTTTTTAAATCATAAAAGCTAAACTGACTTTTCGTTTTCATTTCTTTAATTTTGGGAGGTGGGAGAGGGCTCTGAAGGCTCTTACAAGAATCTGTTCATGTTGCAAGCATTAAAATGGGATTGATGCTGATAAATTTATAATTTTATGCTAAATTGTATAAAGGCTTTTTGTCAGTCACTCTCAACCTCAGGAGAGTCATTTAACAACTCTATTTTCCTCATTAACAGAGTGGTTAAATAATAAATAGTAGAGTAGATGTTATGTAATCAGTTGTATAGCTCTACCGTCAAACTGCTCAGTGTGGGAACGACATGGATGACTCTGTTCTCTTTACAGAATTTATAATTTGAGAAGCTCCAAATAACTTTTTCAAAAACCTGTGCTCTGGGCTATTTGTGAATTACCAAAATGTTGAACAAAGCTGAAAGACACGGTTTAGCTGTGTAAAATGGCCAAATTTGAGTCTCTTTGAATTTGTTTTCAGTGTCCTTAGTGCAGGTTATATATAGGTTCTAGTCTTCACAGGCTTTCTGGGGCCCTTAACTGTGGTCACACTTGGAGTCATGAATATCTTTCCAGTATTTCAGAGCATTCTAAAAGTCTTGAAACTGTATGATCCGTTCATTCAAATCAGCACAGGGAAAAACCCTCATCAAAATTAATGCTTAATCGAGAGGAGGCAACAACCAGAAGCACAGTGAATACAGCATAAGTCTTCATGTTAGGCTCAACATGGGTTTATTGCTAGAAGGATCCAGGGAATAACTTTAGAATTAACCCACCAATCTGAACACCTTTCTAATCCTTTATTTCAGTAATTATTTAGAAGTAGTTTGAATGTCTTTCCAGAGCATCAGGTCTGTGTGTTTTTGTCAGGAGAGGAGAAGTCTTTATGAGACTTCATTTAAAGCCTGATTATTAATCTGAGGCTTTAATTGGTATTACTGCCTTACCTCAAAATAAAAAATTGGGAATTGTTTGGGGGATGGGAGTGCTAGTTCTTGGACAAATACATTGAAAACTGGTTCTGCCCCTTTAACAGCAGCAATTTTCAATGTCATGGTTAGTCAAAATTCATTGTGAATTGTAAGAGGCTTTCAGGGTAGGTTGGAGCATTTATTACGTATTTTACTGTGGTGTCTTACATAGGCCTTTTAATTTGTAAGCAATTAGAGAAGTGATTGGGGCTGTGGAAAACATTTACCTATTTATCTTTCAAGTAAGTTTTTAAAGACTATTTTTTAGCATGTGTGTAGTGTCCAGCCTGTGGTTGTCTTAACTAATAAATGCGATTTTTCTCCCCATTCTCTCTCTCTTATTTGCATATAGGCCTCTTCCCTGTTGTGGGTTTGAAAACTCACCTGTTAGTGTTCAGGTTAGCAGTTTAATACGACTGCTTTTCAGCAAGTTTCTTTTTTTTTTTTTTTTTTTTGCCTCTTTACAAACATTTGCTCATGTGCTTGTGTCCTAGACATCTTAACACATCAAAAATCTTAACTGTGTTGGCATTAGCTCAGTTGCTGTTACTGGCTTTCCATAAACTGCCCCTTCCTGGTAGTTTAGTGAAGCCTACTAGCTTGTCCTTTCGCATGGACTTTTAGTCTTTTATAGTTTCCATAACTAAGGGAGGCATGGGTTTTGGGATCAGCCATTTTCCCAAATTTGGGCTGTACCACTTTTCCACTATTTGGTCTCTCTTGTTAAAATGGAGATTGTACGTGTCACAAGTCTCAGCTAATCGTGGGTGCCTATATTTTATTGTACTTTTTAAGTGGAAGTTTACAATTCAAGTCAGTCTAATAAAAAAATATACGTACGTTGTTACGTGACCCTAATCACTGTCTTTCTACTGTGACAGCACATTCCTTCTTTCCACCTGATTTAGGGGTCCCTATATTTTAAACAGTTTTAAGTCTTGTTGCATGTTTTGATGTCAAACCCTTAGAAGGGTCTTCTGATAAAAGTTGCCTCAGCATCACCTGGAGGACTTAATAAAACGTGGCTTAGCCCCATCCCAGAGTTTCAGGTTCCTAACGTGTTTCCCAGGTGATGCAGATGCTGCTAGTTTGGCACTGCCCTTAGGAGAACCACTGAACATGTATAAGGGACACCTGTATACCTTAGCCTCCCCCACCCAGGAGGTTATTTATTCAAGTCACATAACAGCTAATGCATTCACCTGGAGTTGCTGTGAAGTTCTAGGGATCTTTAAAAATCCACCATAGAGGACTATTTTTCAAAAAGAACCAAGGCTTATTTTTGTGAACACAAGATTGAAAAGGTACATTTAAATGGTGATTTGGAGAACACTGAAGTATTCTGATGCACTATGTCATCTTGTACCGTGGTAGCTTGCATGTTATGATGCTGGAAGCTATGCCACCAGTATTTCAAATATCAGGGTCAACCCAGAGTGTACAGGTTTCAGTGAAGCTTCCAGACTAAGAGAAGAAAGTCCTGGCTATCTGCTTCCAAAATACACCAATAAAAAACCTATGGATTACAACATAATATTGTCCAATACAGTGCTGGAAGATGACCCCCCTAGGTCTTTGGAAGCCAGTCAAAATACACAGTAGTCGCAGCAATGCACGCGTATGACAAAGATTGCACACGACTGGACAACGTTTCCCTCTGTTACGCTAAGGTCGCCGTGAATTGAAGCTGATCCCAGGACAACTAAGTATTTTGATAACATTCTCTGGGTAGTAAAAAGAAAATCGGGACGCAAGGTAAAGTTGACTCAGCAGTGGTTAAAGCAGGGTAGTGAAAAATAGATGGAAATAACCCTTAGGTGCTGACGAGAACAAATGAAAAAAGAAAACTCCAGTAATTACAAAGGGTAAAGCTTGAGCTGCCAAACACAAAAGAACAACTAGTTAAGAGAGGATGCACATCAAAGCCCTACTTCGCCTTAGCGAATAGGAGTTGAAGGACAGGCCCCGGCAGTCTCCCGCCTGGAGCGCGGTGGCGTACTTCCGTGGGCGGGGCCTGCCGCCCGTGCGCACGCTGGTTTCCGTCGCGCCTGCGCGGTTGGCTCCCGGAGCTTTACTACCATTGTGGCAGTTAATTGGGATCAGCTAACTGAAGATACAGTGCGCCTTAACTCTAGGGGGAGATGCGTTCTAGTGCAGCGGTCAGGACCTTCCGTAAAACCTGCAGGTGCCTATTCTCTGGGTTTGGGGGTCGCGTAGGTGGGGGGCTGCTGGAACGCTTGACGAAAACGAGCAGCTCCCTCGGAAGACAGCTGAGGTGGTACGCGGAGCTCCCTCGGGGGAGCGAGCCGGGAGAAGTCCCCGAGTCCGGCGAGGGGAGCGAGGGGCTCTTAGAGATCTGTCAGAGAAGGCATTTCTTCAGTGGAACCCAGCAGCAGCTTAGCCGAGACTCCCTTCTGAGCGGGTGCCACCCCGGCTTTGGACCCTTGGGCATAGAGTTGCGGAAGAACCTAGCCGCAGAATGGTGGTCCTCGGTGGTGGTGTTCAGGGAGCAGGTCTTCCCGGTGGACGCCCTTTATCACGAACCAGGCCCTTCGCTGCCGGGAGACAGTGCCTTCAGGTTAGTTTCTGCAGAATCTCTTCGCGAAATCTTGCAAGACAAAGAGCTGAGTAAGGAACATCTTGTAGCATTTCTTGAGAACTTATTAAAAACCCCTGGGAAACTACGGGAGAACCTTCTTCACGGTATGCTTCACGATTTCTTGCTTCAAAATAGGTGCCGGGGCGGGGGCGGGGGGGCGGAAAGGGAGGCTTGTTCGATTTAGGGGATGCAGCTGGCCCTTTGTTCACATGGAAAGAAAGTTGTCTGATTTTTAAGTAGTCGAGGATATTGATAATGCGTCTACCCTAGAGAAAGTCCATGGAATCGTTACTGTTCCTTAAAGAATCTTGTCTAAAAGACCTCGGTTTCACTGGGCAGACCTAGAATTTTAGAATTCAGTTGAGCAGCCTTAGAATTAGGACCTAAATTCAGTCATGTGTTTGAACCATTTGTTCGTTGTTGCCAAAATTTTTAGTACCATAGTTACTCTTCAGTTTTACACAGAATTGACAAAAACATTTTTTTAGCGCAAAAAGAAAATGCCCTCCCTCCAGTTTTTCTTATTGAAAACTGATCTACAGCCTGTCGTTTGAAGATCCCTTTAAGTAATATTTCAGTTAGTAGAATAATTGGGCTAATCAAGCTTTGTAAGTAATTCTTGAGTGAACACACACAATAATGTGTAGGGCAACATTTGCCATTAAAGTCTTCTGAAAAAATTCAGGTTCTTTACAGTGACAGGCTTGCTGCCACAGCAAAATGTTGTCCCTGACATTTTCCGTTAAGTGGTACTGTTAAAGTAATTCAGGATAACCTAAATGCCCATAGTTCTCTTCTCTGAAAAGTAGCACCCATATTGTAGCCTTTTAAGATATCCTTAATGAAAAAAAGCAAACTGATGAACAGATGTGACAGTTTTGATTTGTAGAGCTTTAATTATGCTATGATGGCTTTACTTTTGGGAAGTTAAATCACAGTCTGCTCATGTACCATGTCCCAGAACAAATCCATCTTTTCTTTTTTTTTTTTTTTCAATTTTTTTAATTGTATTTTAGGTGAAGGTTTACAGAACAAATAGTTTCTCATTAAACAGTCAGTACACATATTGTTTTATGACATTGATTAACAACCCCATGACATGTCAACCCTCTCCCTTCTCGACCTTTTTTT